CGTTTCGTCTCCGCCCCGCAACCGGCCCTCGCGAGGCAACTGCAAGTCTTGCGGCGATGCCATCACGGGCAAGAGCATTTCATCCTCAGACGGCCGTCTCACCGGACGCTACCACAAGGCTTGCTTCGTCTGCACAACATGCCGCGAGCCCTTTTCTTCAGCGGAATTCTACGTTCTCAACGACAAGCCTTACTGTGGTAACCATTATCACAAGCTCAACGGCAGCTTGTGTGGTTCCTGCAGACGTGGCATCGAGGGTCAATACCTGGAAGACGAAGAACGCATCAAATACCACGTTGGATGCTTCCGCTGCGGCGACTGCGGGATGTCCCTGTCAAACGGCTACTTCGAAGTCAACGGCCGATCATACTGCGAAAAGGACGCCTGGCGCCGCATGCAACCACCGCCTCGAATGGTCAACGAGGAGCGACGAGGACGCTCCCCTGGTGGTCTCGGTGTTCCCGGACAAGGTGGCCGCCGACCCAGTAACGGCCAGTCCGGCATGAGACCACCAATTGGTCTTCCTCGCGGGCAGAGAATGGGTCCCGGTGCTGGACTTGCGCCGCCCATGCCGCCTACCATGAACAAGCGCATGACGAGACTCGGAATGATGTAAACCGCCACGAATGCCAACTTGGATCCTTTCCGACTAAACGTATTCGCTTCGTCGTATATGAATCATCATTTACAATGCATTTTAATACCCCACGACACGCTTACGACCACGACACAAAAAACCTCATCTCAACCCACCACATACACTTCCATTTTTTTGTTTGCTATCTAGAGTTCTATATACCCAGTCCTTTGTGGACTCTGTTGATACCTGCATCGGACGACGCGCTTGTCTCGTCTTCGTTTTGAGCATGAGCTTCACAGAAGCTCTTGAGGAAGGGGAAGGCCATTAACAACATTGGAGACATTCCAAATTACATGGCAAAAGGAGCAGAGGAAGTACCTTGCAGGCGATGGGGTTGCACGTGAGTGCTTGTACATAGCTAGCCATCTCAAGAGGCTCGCCGGTTTTGAGACCATAACCCGTAGCAAGCCCCAAGAGAAAGATCAATCTTGAGTCAATATCTTCAACCATGTGTCGAAAGTTTTGTGTTGCATGTGAATGTTCCGAAGCCCGACTGACTGTGGCATAGTCTCGGCTCGTAGCTGAGTCTCGGCTCGTAGCTGGGATCCTATTCGAATACTCATTGTACACTAATGCCAGTCATCTACGATATATCTAGACCTGGGCGCTACCGATATGCTGCGGTGCAAATTGATACGCTCTCATTCCGCCTCGTGCGTCATCTCAGACTTACGCCTTCTGCCGATCCCGTCAATTTGAACATTGACCCCGACTCTCAATTTCCTCCTATAGATTACCTGAATGTCGCAACGAATAGATCTTGACTCATCACTCTCAAGACCGTTCTTTTCATGAGACGAACCGACTGATGGGAGTTGGACGTACATTTTACACCCAAGAGGACGCTAGGAAGCGATTTTGCAGAGACTCACGTACATTTTCGAAACGTCACCATCCTCTTAGGACTCACGCAGTCACTGCTGATCTGAAGAATGAATCTTGAGGGATGGACCTTTTCTCGTGTTGATAATACCTTAGATGGAAGATAGGACGAGTGTACATGGGCGGGCACGGGATAGGTCTTGAGGCAGTCTAAACAGGGTCTACATAATGCGGCACGAGAAACTTGGTCTATTCGCAACTTCCACACTTTTATCTTGATTCAAGGATTAGTAGGATTTCATTCCGAGGCGAATAGCTGATTTGTCTTCGTGATGGCTTCATTCAGAAGCTCTGAAGTCATTTGGCCTGGGCCTTAGTAATCACGTAAGGTGCCGCAATGAGAAGGTAGGTACTTCCATGTCGAAAGTTGGTGGAGTATTCCAGTTTAAGAAAATGTCGAGCTCCACCAGGAGGTTGTTTCAAGAAGAGTGGCTAGTGTCGTGGGTTTATGAGGCTGTCATCGTGCGCTGGGTACTTCGCACGGTTGAAGGACAATTCGAGTCGCGTAGGCTGATCACATTCTGGCGCACGGCGTGTCCGTACAGAGGACAGTGTCAGTGGTTCGTCTGGTCGAGAGTGGCCCGGTTGGGTTTCACTGCGAGCGGGTGTTCCGTGGAGCGCGCGCATTGCTAGATGGAAATAGAAAGAGTGGATGGGACGTCAGACGGATGGTTGGCGGGCCTCTCGCTCGTTCTGAGACTGTCGAGCGTCGAGACATACACCAGGAGGTCAACGTGGTCGGACAAGAGAGGATAGAATGTCAGATGTTGTTGGATAAACGTGACGGCGGTACGCGATTTGCTGACAACTTGGCAAGGTAAGGGGAAGACAAAGCAGAGCGCCCGTGCCTACTAGCCAGATGGTTTTGGCGGACGATAGTGAAATGGGCGATGTTGTTATTTCTTCTCTTGCTGCAGTTGTTAGACATGATGCGTGAGGTCTGGCGATGGTTTGATTGGCAAGTTTCTTTTCCCCCCATCAATCTTTTCTTTCCCGACGTCTCTCATTGATGGAAACGATGTGTTTGCGATTTCGAGATAAGAGCGCTCGCCCTGCGTCCACAGCCGCAAGTCACCTGCAGACTGCAGCCGGTCCCTCCTTGCCTTGCGCTGCGGTAGACCGTAGGCAAGTGGTTATGTCGTGCGTCTTGTTTCGGAAGCTATCAGAGCAAGACTGCAATGGAAGAGACATCGAAGGGTTCGAAGTCGTGCGCAGTTATGCTGGTTTGGTCTCGAGAGCACAGACTTTCTGTTCTGCTGATGCAAGGTCAAAGTGTGAGGCAGAGGGCACTGTCTATTGCGGGTGTCTGTGTGATGTGATCCTCTCTGGAGACAATGACATTCAGTGGCACCTTCTTGAACGGGCAGAGGGCCGTGAAGATCTTCTTCAACTACCTCTCCCACTCCTCGAGCCGAGTCGGTTGTCTTTGTCAGTGACTTGGTGTCACAGTTGAGAATGAGCGGGAACGGTTGACCCGTTCAAGTCCCCGCGTATTGCCTTCGAGAAACTTGGTATCCCCTTACAAGTTACGGAGTACACGTCGCACTTCTCCTCCTTATTGGTGTGGTATCCGAACGTAATTGCCATCTTTGCCTCGTCGTTTGCAAGGCCTTCCGCACTTCCCCTCGCTGAAGCAGCCAAGTCGCGTGGGATATCCGGCAGCGGTAAGGCACGTGTAAAGTGCTTTTTCCAGCGTAAGGGGCGAGCTGAGCTGATGAGGTATCTCGACGCCCGAAATTGTGTGTCTCGGTACTTTGGAAGAAAAAGGCGATTAACTCGGATCGACAGGGGTGTCATGGAACCAGGAAAGGGGAGCTCGGGACTAGCGCGGTTTTGGAAGCGCCACTTTTTGGTGCCGTTCCTGGTTTCGCAGCGTAGCCAAGAAAATGCGGCTTGGATTGGTCAGGGAAGAGAAACAAGCCAACACCGGCTTTCAGGGCGTTCAACTTTTGGCCAAAATTTTCGGTCAAGTCGCCTTTGGTGAAGGTTACTTTGCTCTTTGTTCGCGAAACAGGACCAACGGCGCGGGACCTGTGCTTGATAACTCGGCATTGAGGTCGAACGCGTGGCTTTCTTTGTCGTCTTGGACTTTGAAAATTTTCGTCGTTTGTCTCGTCCGGGCAGCATCAACGGGATGCAGAACAAGATGAGGTGTCCTGGTGCAATCACCCTCCTGAGATTGAGACATCCACTGATCGCTGGCTTAACCGGCGAAACATAAAGCGCGCTGCCAGCTGCCGCTATGGTGTGCAAATTTGTAAGGCATCGTGGATGGGGACGATTGCGATTAAAGTGCTTCAATATGGCTCCAGTGAATCCAGTCCGAACTTGGCCCTCCCCTTTTTCCCTGTTAGTGTCGCTTGCCGAATGCTACTGGAATCTGGCAGAGATGTTTGGGCAGAAAATAAAAAAAGTCCGTCATACCGTATATCCATGCCAACTGTGACTGCAATGGTCCCGCCCATCCCGCGCGACCTGAGTCTGGTGTGATGGATTGATTGATTGCCGGGTGCCGGCGCCAGTAGCCAGGACCTGATTCCCATCCAATCCTCTTGTCAACAAGAGGTGGAGGTACTCAGGGAGGACCGGTGGGCGACATTTGCGTCCCTCTTTTAGAAATTAGGTGGACGGTGGCCACTTTCTCACGTAACTGGCGATCTACATCCGACTCGGAGGATGGTCGGATTCGTCAGTTTGCGACTTGGTTGGTTGGCTTGTTGCTGTCTGTCTCCTTTTGCGTGTTGCAATGTGAATGCGGCGACGTACGCGGTTTATCTGCAGATATCCGCGGGACGGACCCCTTTGAGATACCTCGATGTACACTTTGGACCAAAGTACCTTACGTGCTTACGTGCCTTCCTTGAAGTGAAGGAGAGAGTAGGCGGCCGATTGTATGTACATCGTTCTTTCTTATCCAATTTAAATCCCACGTCGTTCTTGTACCTTATGAGATGTACTCCGTACCCTGGGTTTCTACCAAGCAATGGAGCAACTCGATTGGCGGTCGCCCCTTCCTCTTTTTTCCCAACTTCCTTGCTTCCCCTTCCATGATCCTCCTGCCTCTTGCCTAGTTAGTGCGCCTTCCCTGTTCTTGTCCTTCCTGCCCACTATTCTTTGCCCAGAGCTCGACTCGACGTCCTCTCTCTCCTGAGTTCTGAGTCCCGGCAACCGGTGCCATTGTCGTAGTCGTCTCTGTCCTTCCACCTGCCTTCCACTCCTTCTCCTTTCTTCCCCTTCCTGGCTCTTGGTGGTAGAAACAAAAATCTTTCTGCAATCGCGGCAATCACCAAAAACACTATCGTCGACATTGTCTCCGTTTCACTTCAGATCTCACCTGGATTTTGCGGAGAGGCGTGTTCCAGTCTAGACTTTTCTGTCTCTTCCTCCCTTTCTTCCCCCGCGCTACCTACTCGCCCCCCGTCCGATCCATTGCACCACACCCCCCGAAAAAAATCCCAACTGGGTCTCCTTTGATAGGAGCCGTGCCACTCTCTAATCAACGAGTCTTATCCAATCTCGCCAAGCCCCCATAACAGGTCCCGCTCACACTGCAGCGTTGTTGTCGTTCGAGCCAGGTTTCTTCTCGATTGGGTTTTGCGAGGCGCGCGAGAACTCACCACGTTCCTTTCATACTTCGAAAGACCAGCGCTTCGGGTCGTCATTCCTTTGGTTGTGTGTTTTCCCGACCGCCGCAGCATGCCTCTATAGCGCCGCGGCAAACATTCCAACCGTAACCTATACCCAATCGTCCGTTCGATCAGCACCTTTTTTTTTCCGCAGCGAATTGCCGATTCTTTAATAACCCCCAGTCGACCGCCGCCCGCCGCCGCTTGCCGCTGCCGCGCTGGCCATGTTGACCATGCTCAAACAACAATCATCGAGAGGCTTCATCGCCCCGAGGGCCCGCCCCAAGACGCTGCTCTTTCTCACTCTGGCAATTGTCACCGTCTACTTCCTGGCCACACGCGGCGCTCCTGCCGGCTATCATGTCGTCCCCTGGAACCAAGACGGCACCTCTCCACCCCCCGAAAAGGCCGCACCTCCTGAACCGCCAAAGTCGGAAGAGGAGAGGAAGCAGGATGAGGAGAGACAAAAGCAAGAGAGAGAAAAGCACGAGCAAGATCTGCGAGACGAGTTCGCGCGGGAGTATGAAGCTGCCAAGAAGTACGTGCCCTCCTGTCAATCCCGAGTGCGGGAACGTCAGCTGCCACGCATGCAGGAGAGACTGACATTTTAAACTTTACAGGCTTCCCGGCAACGACGCGATCTACGGAAACACACTTAACTCTCTGAAGGACAAGGAAAACAGGACCGCCGAGCACGCCGCCAACCTCCGTGAGTCTGGCACGCAGGAGGAGGCCTACACGAACCAGCGACCGGTCTACTTCAACCCTTACCCCGACTACAACAGCGAAGAATGGAACAAGACGCATCGCGCGCCTCATGTGCCCTGCATTGGTGCGACTGGCGAGGCCGTTGATGATCTCTTGGTCTTCAAGGGTCATCCTGCGAAATTCCCCAACCCGGGCTTCGGTGGCTTCGACGTCCTGGACATGGACGGCAACATTTGCTACGAGCGCGAGACCAGACTTGGACCCTATGGTCTTCTTCCTCAACTCAGCAAGGCCGGTCTTCGCATTGACTGGGATAACATCAACTGGGGCGACCTCCAGGAGAAGTGTATTGAGAGAAACGCTGCCCGCTTCGACGAGGGCAAGCCCAACGAGTATATCAAGACTGCCTACCCCGACATCGCCGAGAAGTATGGCAAGGAGGTCGAGGAGGAAGAGGAGGCCAACGAGAAACGAGGCCTTACCAACAAGTTCAGGGGCGGGTCCAAGGGCGCTAAGGTGACGACTCCCGACGCCCGTACTGCTGTCCTTCTTCGAACCTATACCGGCAAGAAGTACACCGAGAACGACAAGCAGGTCATCCGTTCTCTCATTTCTGAGCTTTCGCTCCGATCCGGTGGCGAGTACCAGGTTTTCCTGCTACTGCACGTTCGCGATCAGGCTCTCGACATCTGGAACGACGAAGCCACGTACCAGTACGTGCTCAACGAGCATGTGCCTCTCGAGTTCCACGGCATTACCAAGCTGTGGAATGACCAGGCTATGTGGAATCTGTACACAGCGCTTACCGACGAGAACGAAAAGAGCGTGCATTCTGCCCAATGGCTGTCGGTGCAGAAGTTCAGCCAGGACCACCCCGAATTCGACTTTATCTGGAATTGGGAGATGGACGCCAGAATCATCGGCCACAACTACGACTTCCTGAAGCGCCTCTCCGACTTCTCCAAGAAACAGCCTCGCAGAGGTTTGTGGGAGCGCAACGAGCGTTACTATATCCCCGATTTCCACGGAGACTACGATACCGACTTCCGCAAGGACGTTGAGCAACGCACGCGCGGCAACCAGATCTGGGGCCCGCCCAAGCTGCCTTTCATCAACCCCGTCGGCCCTAAACCTCCCGTCGAAAACCCTGAAAAGGAGCCGTACAAGTGGGGAGTTGGTGAGGACGCGGACATGATCACTGTCGGCCCCATCTTCAACCCGATCAACAGCAGCTGGATCATCTCGGACCACATTTGGGGCTACAGAGACGAAAAGTTCCCCGACCCTGCAAAAACCCTCCCCCGCCGAACCACCATTGTCACCCAATCTCGTGTCTCCAAGCGCCTCTTGGACATCATGCATGTTGAGAATCTTCGCGGCAACCACATTGCGTCGGAGATGACCCCTCAGACTGTCGCGCTTCTCCACGGCTTCAAGACTGTGTTTGCACCTCACCCTACCTGGTTTGACCGCCCCTGGAATGGCACTTTCCTCGAGAAGTGGTTCAATCCTGGCCCTCGCGGCGAGAGCGGTGGCGAGGGCAGTCCTATGGGCTGGGGAAGAGAGCGTAGATACCAGGGCATGACTTGGTACTACCGCGCCGAACCCCCACCAAGACTGTACAACAACTGGATCGGATATGTCGACACTAAGATTGGCGGCAAGAACTGGGAGAGAGCGCACGGTCGTCCGTGTCTTCCACCCATGATCCTCCACCCCATCAAGGAGGTCAAGCCGACAGAACCCGGATTCGCGACCCAGTTCGAGCTCTTCTACGGCTGAACGTGCCCACGCAGAATTATGGTGTATGATGTACGAACAAGACTTGCTTCAAACTGGGTTTCGTGGTCTCGCTGGCAAGAGCGACGATGTATGAAGCAGAGAGCACTGGCAGCAGAAACAACCGGACATGAGAGTTTTCAATGGGATTTGGAGGGTACCTATCCTGGAGAACAGGCGCTGCTACGAATACCACTACATGCCCGAGAGGCTATGAATATCAACGAGCTCCAGGCAATCGCCCCTGGGAACCGTGGCGACATTTACCGATTCATTCCGTCCATACGCATGCGGGCCACAGGTTAGATATGAAATCGTTACAGTGTTGCCCCTGGAGCAAGACGTTGTCTCTTTCAAATCAACTGTTTCGGCCTTCACATGTGTGGAAACGGGGTTACCGTTTTCATCACTAGTGATGCATCTTCAGTCAAAAAACATGGCAGATTTTCACTCTTCTTCATTGTCCAATGCCGACAAACCCTGTTCTTTCTCCCCTACCTTACTTTACTCTCTTTTTGGGCATTTTTACAGCGATTAGACCTTTTCCCTAAACGGCCGGCTTTACTTTTTTAGTTGTACAAAGGGTGGATGTAGATGGATTGTGTGAGAAGGTGGGGAAACCAATGTTGCCGGTTTTCGGGACCGAGTGAGCGTAGATATGTAGAGTATCTCTATCCTTCGGGAACTAAAAGATGAGGGAAAACCTGCCAATTGTAATTGTCATGGGTCATATTGTTGGTCTTTCATGAGTGACTTGTTGCGACTCTGTGATTGTACATGCTGAGCTTTGACTTGCAACTCCTGGAGGGAGGGGGGGAGTTCCCAGCTTCGGCCCATGAAGGTTGAGTACGCAAGACTTCAGAGCCTAGTATACACCTGGCTGATGCAGGTGTGAGCAGGACGCAGCCTCGAGCTCAGGCGTCTATCTAGAGCTCTCGTATATAAAGACCCCTTGTCCCCCCCAATATGAAACATGAGAGCGAGGAGATCTAGCCGATCAGACTCGCGCACATCGCTGGGTAGACTGAATGCTTCTTGCTGCCAAGGCTATCGGGGGGGTATTGACAGAAGAGCATGCGGCACCTTGGGTATCCTGTTCGGACTCCCAATCAGGGTCCCAGGTCGTTAGTTCTTGGTGAGTTATTCGGCGAGTAATATGAGGCAGGGACGGGATGAGGACGGGTGGTAAGGTTAATGAGAATGGTCATGTTCGGCTTAGGGCGATAAGCTTTGGCATCCTGCTCAGCTCAAGCCCCAAGTTCACGTTGCCTCCGGAAGACTGGAAGATTGAATTTGGATGTGTAATGTTCAAGCACGGAAGTCTGTGTTTCTCGGTGTCCTATACGGAGCAAGTGGCCGCCCGGTCGCCTGAGCCTGAATTCTTGCTGACTGGTCAGCTTGACGTTGGGTTTGGGTTTAGACTTTGGGTTGGGAAGAATGGAATCTGTGATTCATTGGGTGTTAATGTGATGGGCTTCTTCCTTCGTTGTAACAACTCGGCATTACCACCTCTACTTTACTGGCCTTCTCAGAGAGTCGCTCCGGAGCAGTCGACGTGAAATGCGGGCAGAGTGCGGCGACTGGTCAACATGGGTACCATTTTGCTATGGAAGAGACCGATAGTCTAGGCGAAAGATAATAGCCACTTATGTCATAACGGCATATCGTTGAATCGCACTCAAACATACGAGCGTTCAACGAGGCCGAAGCGGACATCAGGCTGGTGGCGGGATCTTCAAAATTTCGGTATCTGGACTGTCTTGGTAGCCTCACAGGATGCATCGCATAGTTACAGACAATAGTCACGATCCTGCAGGCTGGCTCCAGACGCAAGCGAGCACCTGCGCGGCTTCGAGGTCTTCACGACGAGTGTGGAACAGAGTTGCGGTGCATCAATGAAGCTGACGGCGAACCATCACGGGCAAGGGATTGCCTGAATTCGCCCACCTATTTGCCTGATCTGCCTTACCTGCCGTGCCTGCCTAACTGCCTGGTCACTTTGTGGAAGTTGCAGGCGGACGGGACACGGCATGCATTGCGCGTGGCTCCTGCCAACTTCTCCATTTTTGGACGGGGGAAAGCGCGCCTGCCGTACCTGCCCCGCGCGGACGGGGAGCCGTTTAAATCACGTGTAGCTTGAATCCATTGGGCAAGGCCTCTTCTCACACCTGCAGTGTACTTCCACTTTGTTTCTTGTTACCCGAATGAGAAACCTAAAGCAATCGCAGCCTGCAGCTGATGCCTATAGCCTGCAGACACCTCAGGCAGGCTCTCCTTCGACGATGCATTCCCCGCGCAAATGCGCTCGTGAGTCGTGATGATGGCCTCACCAACACGAACATGATGAGGCAGCCAGATCCATTCGCAACCCGAGACAGCACCGAACAAGAATCTGTGCCACGACAAGCCCACCTTCAATGCATCGCAGGGAGAGCCTGATGCTGTGCTTGGGGCTACAGCTGTATCTGCTGGTCCAATTGCATCATCTCAATGTGCCGTGGCTACATGACGATGCGGTACAGTCAAAAATGGCCTCACGATAGCGACTCCTATCGAGCCACTGATTCTAGAACACCTTGCATCTCAAACCTCCAAGGGCTAGAGACAGACTGTAGCACCATCGCTTGATGCGGCTCATTGGACACTCGTTTTGACCAGCCAACGGGAATCTCGAAGCTTGCAGCTTGCCCAGCCCAATGACACAAAATGAGGCTTGCAACTAGAATGCAGTGCTGACAGGAGATAAATACCCCGCTCTTCATCATGCTTCAAGTGCAAGAAAGGAGCCGATATCCTGTTGGCACCGTCCTCTCTCAGTCCTCCCTTTGCCTTCGTGACCATCTCAGTAGCTGGCATTCTGCACAAGATGGCTGCCTCTTTCGTTGACTTGGCTGGCATCGCCAAATTGGGTGTACAGCTTGCTACGAAGCTCGCAATCTATCAACTCGGCACCTCTGGGTCAGATAGCGATATCCACAATCTCAGCGACGATGTCCTTGCTACAGCGGCAGCACTAAGCCAGCTGCGGGAATTTCTCGCCGCTGATGCACTTGAGATATCACCTGTCTACCGGTACGATGGCCGGGAGGCCATCGAAGATCTTGCAACGAGATGTGGAAAGGTGTATACCACCATTATCCGCAGCGTTTATAGAGCAAGTCTTGCTGTCAAAGTCGTCAAAGATGTGAACTTTGAGGCCCTTAGCACGGAGGACCTGAAGGCATCCAGGCTGCATGCAATCAGCGACAACATGGACTGGGACATGGTCGAGGAAGCCATTGAGACGAGCGAGGTCCAACTGCGCTGGCTCAAAGCAAGTCTGCTCCTCCACATTCAAGTAGCTGGTATTGCCGGCCTTCAGATCAAGTTGGTGCTCCTTATACTGTGACGATGAACGATTTGGCTAACCATTCCTCAGACCGAGATATCCTGGAAGTTTTGACGAGGAATTGGCCTCAAGGAGTCTGGCAATGCGGTTGTTGACGTGCAAGGGCAAAGCCGCCAAGGAACTCGTCGAGATTGCTGAGAGAAAGGAACGTCTGGCGCTTGCAGACAAGCCCGACACTGAGAGCGTTTACGAATCTTCAGCAGCATCATCAGTCAGCGGCAGCGGCGTTGACGATGACGCAGAATCCTGGAAGTCTGGCGAGACTGCCAATGACTCCAGGGCGCCATCCATTTGTGGTGGTAAGACGGAGGAGAATGCCAAGGTCACGCCCGTCGTTGAGATTGATACACCTCCTCCGCCACCGCCGATGGTTGCCCCGACAAGCTTCTGGCACCAGCCGTGGGATGGGGGCCCTGACGCAGGCCCGGTTGAAATTAAGCTGTTGGCACCGAAGCGTCGATTCCCAGCCAAGGTCTTTAAGTCTGTTGGCAAATGGTTCAAGGGTATTTTCAGCCGCAACACCATGCCACCCATCACCGACCTGGATCTCGAGGCGACGGTCCTGAGAAATGGACCATTCCCAGAGTCCTTCTTGGCATTGGAGCCCAAGATGCTACGTCTCGAGCTGAAGCGCATCCTGAAGCAAAGCTCCAAGACCCCGGGCGATGCGTTCCTGGTCCAGGACGACCAACTTCGTTCTGCCGTTCAGGGTGCTCTTTTCCGCGCCCAGAGAAAGGATGGCCGCACCAGGCAGCTTATCACTGTGGATGTCACCACCCGACCAGATGTCGCGGTTGTGTACATGTCGGTTGATCCGGCGGCAGAACCCGTTCACATGACTGATGTTCTGGGTCGAAAGTACGATATTCCGTTTGAGCAGTGCCGCACCGTTCAAGTAAGATCCCCCCCTTTTTAGTACTCCATGAATCTTCAACTAACCGGCGTCTACAGGGTGCGCGTGTATCAATCCACCAGCGCTTCAAAGACGTCAACAGGCTCTGGAACCTCGTAAGGGACGGAGCATATGAGATCGTTGACGAAAACGACACAGTCATCACGCCAGAGGCATGGCAAACAACCATCAAGCCCGGAGCCGTTCTTCACATGCGCATCTCGGCCTTCAATGATGGCATGAACGGAGGCGTCTTCGTACCACCCGGCGCACCAGACCCGCTCACCTGGGCCGAGCCTTACACGCCGCCGCCCATGCCACCAGGCTGCTGGAGGGGACCCCCCATGCCTCGGGGGATGCGTCCGCCGGGATTCTGCCGTCCTGGAGGCCCGGGGCCGAAGGGATGCATGCCTCCTCCGCCACCGCCTACTTTTCCGCGCGTGATGCCGCACGTGATCACGGTTGAGCCCAGAGAGCGTGCGGAGCTTGGCTTCGAGCCCGACTTTGGGCCGACCCTGACGCGAGAGGAAGAACTGGGCGAGGGGCGGAAGGATCTCGGTCGGTGGGTTGCTCTGTGGACTAATGCTACGGACACGGATTTCACCTCTGACTCGGGCGGTATCCCGTCTTATGATGATGCCTCTTCCATCATGTCTGGGTCATCCTCGTCCTCGGATGAGATTGTGGATGATTGAATCACCTAACGTTTGTTCCTCCTCGTTAGCAACGTGGCTCTGAGGTTTTAAGCCTTGCACTTTGCTGATCTGTTGGGTGCCACTCTTTCCGCCCTCAGTACCTATACGTTTATGATGTTGTCACGATTTTGAGTAGGCAGGTTGGACTTGGGCTTGAAGGCCTCCGTTCCCCAATGATACTTCGTTTGGATGCTTTGTTACTATATGTCGGGATATCATTATGTATTGCACTTCCTCTAATACATGTCATCTCAATGCCTGCTTTTGAAATTCCGAGATGACCCTATCGCAACTTGAGCCCTCAGTCTGCCAAAGTCTTTTTGAATAAGTGACTCATTGTCAAGACAATCATGCTTAACTTTCTTCTATTTAAACTCTGAAAAACAGCGATATCACGGCACACTGGACAAGATACATACAGCATTGTGGCTATATGGCAAGCTACTTTCTTCGAGCTGCAGCAAGGGCCCCACTGATTCTTTCCCACACCATGCGAGCAGAAGTGATGCACCTGCACCAATGTTGACATGTACGTTAACGATGATTCGCCAGAAGTCCGTAGTCAGGCGAGCGCCTGGGTCGAAGCAGCCCCGACCAGATTGATTCGCTGTGATTGCCCTTCAATAGGTGTTAGGCGTCAAGAATCCCTCTCCGGGCCGTTCCATCGATCCATTCAACTTTCTCCCCTTAAAACCTCAAAAACCTCGCAAGTTGTCGTTGTCTCTCAACTTTGGCGCATTAGCCAGACGCTCGAATCTCCTCGGTTGCTTCAACAATGGCGGATCCGCTGTCCATCGCAGGCAGTGCCGTCGGAATCATCTCCCTCGGAATCCAGGCTGTACAGTCAATCTACCAATACTACAATGCCTCGAAGAACCAGCATTCCGACATTGCTCGTACCCTGCGGAAACTCGAGGATTTGCAATCTTTGTTCGAAAGATTGAACAGCTATCTCAGCGATCGAAAATTCCGACTCAGCGAGAAGGGTTTGCTTCAAAACATCGAGTCCACGATTCAGCACTGCGAGGAGTCCATCGACGAGTTGGAACAAGAGGCGAAGAAGTTTGAGAAGATATCGACCGACGGTGCTCGAGGTACAATCAGAGGAGCCGTCCGTCCGTTGGTATACCCTTTCCGGGAGAGCACTCTCCTGAAGCTGCACGAAGACATCGATTACCTCATCAGTCAACTGTCTCTGGCCTTATCGCTACTGCAGCAACAGACCATCGATCTCGTACAAGATGAAATCGAGAGCACCAATGCCATACTCAACTTAATCCGAACCTCACAAGTTTCCTCCGAGATCCGAACTTGGCTCAATGCTCCTGACGCAACCTTCAACTTTACTGAAGCATGTGCAAAGAAACACCCGGGGACTGGTACTTGGTTCGTCAACGGGCCTGAATTCACTCGCTGGCTTGAGGAGCCAAACTCGTTTCTTTGGTTGAAGGGCTTTGCCGGCTGCGGAAAGACTGTTCTGAGTTCGACGGTCATACAGCACACCCTACGCCACCGTAGATCAAACCCCTCCATCGGACTCTGTTTCTTCTTCTTTTCATTTAATGATAAATCCAAACAGGATGCATCAGCCATGCTTCGAGCGCTCATTTTGCAGCTATCTGACCAACTTGACTATGTTCCATCCGCACTGCAAAGGACACATGATTCGAGGAAGAAAAACAACATCCAACTCTCGACGGTAGACCTACTTCAATGTTTCCGTCAGGTCTTACAGCTTTTCCAAAACGTCTACGTTGTTTTGGATGCACTAGACGAGAGCCCTCGGGAAACTAGTCGGTTCGATCTTTTAGAAGCATTGAAAGAGATTCGGACTTGGTCAGATCTGGGACTACATCTTTTGGTAACTAGCCGAGACGAAGTCGATATTCGCGAAGGATTAGAGGCCGAGAAACAAGCGACTATCTTAATGAAGCACGAAGGGATAAATGATGACATTGCTAGCTATATCTCGCAATACCTTCAACGGCGTCTTAGACATTGGAGCGACCACCATTCTCTGATTGAAAAGGTCTTGACCGAAAAGGCACATGGCGTGTGAGTTGACATATCTGAATTTGAAACGATTAGTGCTGACGATTGTAAGTTTCCGTTGGGTTGAATGCCAGTTCAAAGCACTTGCGACGTGCCCAAGGACCAAGCAGGCTCTTGATCGACGACTTCAATCATTACCTCCAACGTTGGATGAGACCTACAAAAGGATGCTGGAGAATGTTCCCGACAAAGACTACGCCAAGCAGATGCTCACGATTCTCTGTTGCGCATCAAGACCGTTGTTTGTGCCGGAGTTAATCAACGCTTTGGCAATCGAGATCGGAACCACGTCCTTCTTGAACCCAGATCGGCAATTGCCAGATGCAGACTCTCTTCAGGAAATCTGCCCAGGATTCACCGAAGTAAGAATCGGACCTTTCGGAGGAATATCCTTCATTCGAATTGCCCACTTCTCTGTAAAGGAATACCTCGAATCTAGTCGTATTCTTCTACCAGAAGGTTACCCTGCTTTCAGTATATCCAAGCGCTGTGGGGATCTGCTGCTGGCGTCAATGTGTCTCACTTTGCTGCTAGAACCTGGACTACAGATTCTTGGGTATTTGGAGGTCATGAAAGAGTATCCTTTTGCGAGATATGCTGCCAAGGAGTGGGTAAACCACTGGAGGAAGGGCACTGAGATTGGCGCCGCATTGTACGATAACCACAGTCACTGCAACCTTGAAGTATCCCACGATAGTCTCGTTCTACGACTCCAGAATCAGATGTTACTGCTTTTCAGAGACACGACAGGGGTAATAAGAAACGACCTTACACCATGGAACAATAATTTTTATCGGGTTGAGGACTGGGACGAGATGCCACATCCACTTTACTTCGCATCCCTTATCGGTGCTCGCTTCCTGGTAGAAAGCTTCTATGAGGATTGGAAAACACAATGCAGCCTCAAACAGCCAACGGAAGGATGCATCGATCATATGGGAGGAAAAAGTGGAAGCCATACTACACCATTACAAGCAGCGGCAGCTTTCGGTCATCGAGACGTGGTAGAATTCTTCCTCGACCAAGGGGCGGATCCAAACATGACTTTTCTGCAAACACATACTGCATGCGGCACACCTTTGATGACAGCTTCAGCTTATGGCCAGACAGAAATTATTGAGTTGCTGCTCGAGCGTGGTGCAGAGGTCAATTTCGTTTGGTCCATGTCATCCCTTGATCCCGGACGACAGGGCTTTGGATTCGGTGATGAAATGGAAATGCCAACTGCCTTAGTGGCGGCATCGTTCTCGGGTCAAAGCGAAGCTGTAAAATTACTGTTGAAATATGGGGCAGTCGATGATGTTCACTCCGGCTTCTTGTACAATTCTGCCTTGAGGGCAGCGAAAAATTGTATGAAAGACGTGAAAAGGGTCGAAGCGACTAGGATCCTTCTCCAGAATTTTGACAGCGTCAAGGTCACTACGAATTCTAAGATACTCGAGCTCTACATGGAAGTAGCGGTGGAGACTGGGCATATAGATCTTGCCCAAAAGTACCTGGACAAATGGATCTTGTGTGGAAGACCTGGCTTTTCGCCCAGAAAAACACTTGAATTAGCGTCAGCAGGTGGACACGAAAGTATTGCTCATCAACTCCTTCAGTCCGGAGCTAAGGTTGCATGCTCAGGTCGAGCCTGCCATTTATCATCGCTCAAAGACGCAATAGGACCGGCACTTCAAGAAGCATCAGGAAACGGACGCCCTGAAATCGTCAAACTTCTCCTAGGCTTCGGAACCGATATTAACTTTACTTTACGTGGCCGGGACTTTGAATCTGCACTGCTGAGAGCAGTAACTGGAGGACACGTAGGAACAGTGCAGCTGCTTCTTAACATAGGCGCCGACCCCAACTCTTCGGATGGAACTCAAATGCCAGCACTGTATGCGGCATCACAAGCGGGCCATGAGGAGATTGTTCAGCTACTTCTAGACGCAGGTGCGAAGATCCACGCGCCAATTCAGGTGGGTTTATTTGAATCTGCATTGGCTGCAGCTTGCCATGGCGGCAATAACAGAATCGTGAAGATTCTGATGGCACGAGGTGCCTCTTTCCTGGAGAGACACGTTGTTGCTACAAAAGTACGGGCTGTAACGGAGAAGTTTGCGAATGATCATTGGGATCTTTGGGACCGGATACTGTCCAACTACACCAATTTTGATCCTCGGGATATTTGGGACCCGATAAAGTCAAAGTTTGTAGCTCGGCATCTTCGGTATTTGCTCTCATTCTTGACGAAAACAGATACTGAGGACCTGGAGCTCTGGCTTCGGAAAGAGAATTCGGATGTTAGGCCGAAGGTACTGGATCCTCTCTCCTCGGCGTCACTTGGGGGCCATGTGGATATTGCTCAGAAATTTCTCGCAGGTTTGACTGAGAAAAATGTCGAGAACCAGGCTCCGAGACTACGAGCAGCACTTGCAGCGGCCGCAGCAGGCGGCCACATTGAAGTTGTCAAGCTCATTCTCGACTTCGATAGTCAAATTCCCTTGCAAGAACTTGGTTGGAGGAGAGCAAAGTACTTGGCGTCACTGATGGAATACCAGGATATCGTGCAGATTTTGGACGAAGTTTCTGAAACAAGGCTTCTCTTTGAAAAAGAGGGCAATCACTAGATCTATCAGGAGCTCTGAGAGCCGTTGTGTTGAAGCCAGAGGGCGACTGTGGAGCTGCATACTGTTGACGAGGAAAGATATAGGGAAGAGAGCCTGCGAATATGACACATTAGCCGTTGAAAACGATACTGGGGTACCCTAAATTTGAGAAAAGTAGCTGAGAGATAGCAATTATCAACGGATCTAGAGTTTACATTTGCAGCACCGTCACTATTGCTCGCGAATTCTACACCTATTTCTTAAAAACTGTCTCCTCTAATCGCCGCCCATCATCAAGCACCACAGCCTCAGCCCCAACCATAACAAACAAAACCCTCGTAAACCCATCCGAAGCATTAACCCACTCATGATTCACCCCACCTTGCACAATAACCTCTCCCGCCCTAACAACTTTCTCCTCCCCTCCATCCAGCCTAAGCACAATCTCCCCAGCCAGCACGCACGCATAGTCGACGCTGAGAGTCCGGTGCATAGGCGCCTTATACCGCGGCGGGAAATCTGTGAGGCAAAAGTACGTGCCCGCCGCTGGTGCGCGTGGGAGGGATGTTGATAGGGTTTGCGGAGGGGTGTTGGGTAAGTTGGAGGCGGGCAGGCTGGGAGTTGTGTGGAAGGATGTGAAGCTGCTTGCTTGGGGACCGAAGGGGTGGAATGGCGGGAGGACGGCGTCGGATGTGAAGATTGAGGTGCCGTCTTTGGTGTGGCCTGTTGTTATGAGGCGGACTGGGGGTAGAGGGGTTGCTTGTGTTGCGGTGTTTGGGTTTGTTTGGTCTGACATCTTTGTTGTGAGTTTGGTGATGACTGATGTAAATGCTTGATGATCTTCTTGAGTGAGGTTCAGATGTTGTGTTGGAGAAGCGTGTGGTGATGATGTACGGATGTCGTTGATTGTTGTTCTGGCTTCAGTCTTGGCGGGACCTGGACTTCTTATATCTCACACTCAACCCATCATCAATCTCAGTAAATATCCATATAATCACCTACCTTCCAATTTCTTGCTCGCATTCATTGACATGCCCCGCTCATGAAATGCGACGCCATCGCGTTAGCGGCGGATAACGGCCCAGGAAACATAAGCGCTAGCAAATAAGGCAGGAAATCAAGCTTCGATCAACGCCTGCAGAGACACCGACCAAGCCAATTACAGCAGTCGAGCTAACTGCTTGTGGCATCTTGCCTTAAAACCTCGTGCAATTGATGGTAGCATTGACAGGAAGCGCGCGGCTTCTCGGGACGCGAGGTTCAGCGCGAGACCCTTGAGCCTGGTTCTTGGTGATGATCGTGGGATTGCTTTGGTAAGCGGGTGTATGCTTACATATGGATGTCGGCGACTCTTACAATGAAGATGATTGCGATGAAAAGAATCGCGACTCGGCTTCGAACGGTCGCTTATCGCCGTTGCGGTGCTTGCGTGAGCACACGCCTTGCGGGGGTTTGGGGTGTCAACGCGAAATGATGATGTGAGGCACAAGTTACGATGTAGGAAACGACAGTGCGATCCTGGAAGAAGTTTTAATTGGCAGAATAGCTCCGCAGACATCCATATGCCCCTTGTGGAAGGGACTACAGCTCTCGCAGAAGCACCCATATGTTTAGCAGACCACAGACATATCTCAGCTGCGGACGTTCACTGATAGCGCAGCAGACTTCTTTGCCGCCCCACGTAACTGAACATGGAAACTCTTCGGTCTGGGTGTATCTGCTTTGTACTATACCGTGGTGTTCTAGACATCTTGAACACGAGCAGTCGAGGACATGCAGTATCGCTAGACATCGTCGCAGAAGCTATCCATGAAGTTCTTTGACGACATGTGCAAGTGTTCTAAGCTGTTTTACCACCACACTGCACACCTCCTTCCGAGTGTAAGCGCGTGTGTGGAACGACGGGATCATACGAAAGCAGGCAACACAAATGCTGTCAATAAGAGCCTAGAAGCTCATGAGGACTCAATGTTCAACAGGCCAACTTTTCTTGTGCAACTCCGAGAACCTCACGGGCAGTCTTGGCAGAGATGGACATCGGCCTGCCGATGTTTTCTATCGCCAAGTAGCCGATCTCGAGTCTCCAAGGGAGCCTGAACAGGCGATCAGGTCGATGCCCATAGTTTCACGTGATACAACACCTGTTCACAAGACACGCTTGTTCGCGAAGAACACAGATAGGCTTCGGAGATGGGAAAGCAATATTCCAGGATCGTCAACGGACCAGTGCCTGGGCAACTATCAGCAGTGAATAGAACAGTCATGTTCTTTCCCTGAATCAGACTCATCTCCAAGAACGCTGTTCCAACAGCTAGAGATGATCACCTGCCTCATATCTAAACCACAGTCACCATCATGCGCGCTCTCGTGAGTGATTCACCACCTCAACACCACCCTTTCCAGCAACACTATAAAACAAAACATCTCCACCGCGAAATCAACAAATACTCTTCTTCTACATCATCAACACATCAAACACAGTCAGACATCAATCAACCAACCAAACCAAACACTCAAAACACTCAAGCAACCTACCAACTCACCACTTTCCCAAACAACAACCAGCAATCTTCTGCAAAGAACCACACATCAAACCACAACAATTACCCAAACAACCAAAACCATCAACCAAACCGACGCAATGGCTCCCACTTGGCCCGTTACTCGCCCTAAGCCTCCTCACCCTCCTCCCGACCCGGCTCCCAAGCCCCTTCCTCCCAGCAAGTAAACAATGGACGATATAAGGAAGCATGCTTTGGTCATGGAGTGGTGGCAGGATGGCCACAGATACACCTGAAGGATGAAGATGTTCTCTTCTCCATTCACAGTCACACCTCAGCGGTGAAGATACCCTCTAGTAGCTAGTCACAGAGTACCTTAGTTAATAAAACTCAGTCAAAACAAGAAACTTGTCCCCTGATTCTTCAAAGTCTGGAAAATATGTCATGATTACTGTAAATTTGCAGATGCAACGACGACTGCCTTGATATAAGTCTTCATTCTGAAATACGACGAGGGAAGGCGGCGCATCGAAGTCGTTGAATCAACCTTACGAGGATACCTAAAATGGAAGGTAGTACCGGCCCCGGAGAAAGCGGGTCCGATGCGCACCGAGCCGGATTGTCGGCACAGCTGCCGGATCGGAAGACTGCGAACTCAAAATTCGGGATCAGACGACGGCGGGCCGAAGACACTGTCTTTTTACAAGAAATCTCTGCATCTCTGCGAGATAATTACCGATATGAAGATACGACAATCTATACGAGAGCCAACCTAGTGCGAGAAGCAACGCCTGGATCACAAGCAAGGATGATCCATAGCAGCGTCGCGGACGTGAACCGAGGATACCTTTAGCTGTGAACATAGAGTTGGTGCCACGAACTGACACTTTCCATAGTTACGTGACGGCGGCCTCGGCGTGCCGACGGTTCAAGCCTAAAGCTTAGCGGGTCTCTCGGGAACATGTTTGAAAGTTTTGTCTTAGACTCGCCAACGGGCGACTCTGCAACCTTAAGTGCCGATGGACAGGGCTTTGCCGGACGAGAAACCAAATCTTCCTGATGTTTCTTTGTGATGGAGTCGTTGAAACCGAGAGCGACGCTAGTCTGAAGGAAACAACTCCAGGTTGCTTTTTTCCCCTCGACGTCATGCCACCAAAACGGTGGTGCGGCTCAGCTTCCAGAGTGTGCCTCACCGTCGTGGTGCCCACCTCACCTGAAGCATTGGTGCGCGCAGTAGTGGTTTTTTTTTTTTTTTTTTTGGGTAGCAGAGCCTGTCAATCATAGCAGGGCCAATAAGCGCTGGGATGATGGCGTTTGGGTTGCATCCCGGAAGTGTAGCCCTACGAGCTTCCAGACTGGCAGCGCTGGAGCCCGAATGACATATGCCCGCGCTAGGCCCAGGAGAGATTCGAGTCCAGCTTTGTAGGTAACAACTCGCGAATAAAATGCCGGGGCTATTTCTCGAGTCGCCGGCAAAGCTCGTATTGTGGCCCGCGGATTAGGCAGCTCCATAACAACGAGGACCAATATCCAGCCCACAGAGAGGCAACAAAGCCAAGATTGCGCACAGCGTACGAGATCGTGGGGAAAAACTGGATCTGGTACACCCTCAGGATTCAGCGATGGAGCTGGCGGCGTTCACTCAGCTTGGGAATGCTTGCGGGACAGCTCAAAATGCGCCAAATCTCTTTTGGCGGGCCAATCCACGGCTTGTTAGGTCCCTTGGCCTGAGCCGGTGGGCGTACAGAGAGCACATGGAACTTATGGAAGTGTGTCGACGCGGAGTCGAGCCGCATGTAGCCGTATCAACAACGATACGAAGTGGGTTGGGCTTGAAGAGGCGGCACACCTATGCGAAAGGAGAAAATGTTCGGCAATACGTGTGGCAGTAAGATTTGCAAGGACGGGCAGAAGGGATAAATCTTGCAACCATCATAGAACACCGGACGAACGCCTCTTCGTAAAAAGATATGGACAGTTGGAAGCGAGGGGGGTCGGAGTTGTCTTCAAAACGCGCCGTCAACGAGACCAAACATCCATATCCACATGTTGGATCTGAAAGGGCAATGATGTGACGTGAACGATGGCTCGGACTTCACCTCGGAAGTCCTAAAGGGTACCGGCAATTGGTGGACCTGATGGAAGCAAAGATCGCAGAACGGGTAGGTCGGCTGGCAGGCTGAGGTGAGAGCGAGAAAAAAAGTCGTTCGGCGCCAAAAGGCGAAAGGGCAGCTACGAACGGCAGCTTTGCCAGAAAGGAGATGGGCGATCGGCACGGCCGTGATGTGGGCGGGTTGAAAAACGGCGCGGAATTGTGGCTGTCAGCATATCAGTCTAGCCGTAGGCCGTATGTACTATGTAGGCCGTCATGCTCCGTTGGAGCATATCTGTGGTCTGTGAGATTCGGCCGAGCTTCGCAGGTGAAAACTGGGGGTGAATTCGATCTATTGAAGTGTGCGTTATGCGCTGTCAGCGGAGGAGAGTGCGAGGAGTGCGAGGCCTAGGTAGACGGTAGAATGTCTCGTGTTGTTAACGGTCGTGACCCTGAGACATGCATATGCCTTGCCAACGTCGATGAGAGAAGCGAAAGAAGAGCGGTGGGTTGATTGAGGGGAATCGAGGGGACGTGAGGACTACTGCAAGCAGCAGCAGACATTAGCCAGGGGATGGAGAGGCGATGGCATGATGTTGACGGGCCTCGTCGGATTTGGTGCGTCGCGTGATTGATGCTGGATAGGTAATCTCTGGTGTTGTAAAGTTGGAGGACGTGTCGCCCGGCAGGCAGAAGCCACGCCCATGGCGCTGTCAGGGCACGCCACACGCCTTGGGACGCCCTAGAAGGGAATCTGCAAGAAGCTTGTCGGAGTGGGAAATCCCGGGTAGGTAGGTCAACGGCGGCAGCGAAAGAGAGCGCGAGGAGAACCTTGAAGTTCCTGCTTTCTTGCCCAAGCCAGCGCCCGACTCTCTAGCGGTGAGATTCCCCTGGCTGACGACGGGAGCAGAGCGTATGAGCGCAAGGTAAGGAAGGCACCTTCTAGGAGAAAAATATTAGGCGTGAGATGTTGAGTGTGAGTTGTCTGTGGCGCACGGCAGGCGCTAAGCGATTCCTGTATTTTCAACCCGGGGAAGGAGGAGGTGGTGGTGGAGAAGGAGCAGCGGAAAGTTGTGGAAGCCACACTTTACCTCTAAAAATTGTCCGTGGAAGGCGCATGCACAGTACGGATACCCCAATGTGGAAACTGCCGTCACCTGACGAGTGCGGGCAGTAACACAGTAAGATACAACAAGTGGGACTGTACATGCAGGCGCTGCAGGACCGCAGGGCAGGCAGGTAAGCTCCTCCCTGGCTCCTTCATGTAAGATTTCCCCGACCGCAGCATTCTATGCCTATCCCGATGCCGCTTCCCCCGTCTCTCTTACACCGTGCCGCCCTCAACAACCCAATCCCGACCTCGTAGCACGGCTATCTGTCGACTTGGCTTACCTTCTTTCATCACATCTCTCTGTTCTCATTCGCCAACTGACGATACCACATCCTGCAGCTCATCATCCATCTTCCATGTCCTTGGAATTCTCCCAGACCGTCTCCAAGGTAATCCCGGCCGAGATAATGCTGACTCTGACTCCTTTTCCTCACAGAGTCCCATCAGACCATCGCCTGGCCCGGCTCTTGTTCATCCAGAGTGTCCACTCGAGACTTTGCTGCACGCCATCTCAAGTCCCCAACAACCTCGTGGGTCCCTTGAGCTTCTTCCCCTCCTCATCTCTCTGCGCCGGCTGACCCTAAAAATAGCCCCCAACTACCATGCGCCCGGGGCAATACTCTAAGCAAGCCGGTGACTCTTGCTATGGAGACAGAATACCTAACTACAACTTTACGGCACATTTCGATACGAGCCGCCCGATGATGTCGTTGAGCCCATGACCAAGATAGGCCCGACCAGTTCCGGTTATCCTGCACATGTTCTGTGTACTACCTTAATCCACGAATGATTCGCCTACCAACCGCGCAGCTTAGTCAATCGACGGTGCCGCGCTCTCTTGTTACCTCATTAGTCTCTAACCTTCGTCTTGGCGAATCAGATGCTCCGTCTCCGTACTGTCTCGGTCTGATCGACCCTGGAGACAGCTCGCCGGTGAACGCAACCCAAGAAACGCTTTTTTTGCTTTTTGCACCGTTCTGCATTCGTATCCGCGAAACTTCCACGTACCCCGACCGACCCGACTGTCTCTGGCGGATGCCCGGCCAGATGAGCCTCACCGCCGACTCCAAGACTGGTCAACAGCAGCATCCTAGCAAGAAGCCAGGTCCTTGTCCTGTGCGTCGATCTGCCTTCTCGCTTAGATACGCTGGCGACTGAGCCGTGCCCTAGAATCTTGACAACTCAATGGGTCTCTGGAGCGCCGGAATACCTCCCGTGCCAAGCAGTGGAGTGCCCGAACCGTACGAGCCTTCCAGCTGAGCTCAGACGGTCCACCGTGACTGTTGTCGTTCCATCTGGATATACTACGATCTGGTCCAACTTTCAGGCCTCTCGCGGTTGTGCTCCAGTCAGGTCGCACGTTTCCTGGGTGCGGTCAGACCTCTGCCTGCTAGCCCGGATACATACCATCCATATCACATCAGAACCTTCAATGTGTCATTGCAAGCTGGCAGTTGATAGTGGAAATTATGCTGACATGTTGCATGTCAAAATACCAAATCAAGCGCCCTACGATGTACTGCAAACCTATCGGCACACGTCTGGACCATCCGCGAGTACCGAACCATGACATATAGCTGTCCCCCAAGTGGCCCGTCAGCCTCATCCTTCACCTATTCTCAGCCTGTGTCACACGAGCCCGTCGTAGCCGTCGGTGCAGCTCATAGGTAGACATAGGGCAAGAAATTAGCACCTCCAAGGCAGATCTTGGGTCCAATTTGGGGATCTGACATGATCCGCACCACCCAACCAGCTTTGCCGCATTCCGTCTGCCTGGCTACTGCCACCCATGACAAGCCGGAGCTCAGCCTCATCCCAGATTTGTCCCTGCTTGGCTTTTTCCATCCTTTCTTAGTACGCATCTTCTCTGCCCCGTATCGGTATCGCTAGCTCGACCCGAACGACCTGAAGCATGTTCCATCTACCTCCACATGGCACAACAAACATACCTTCTTTCTCCACAACGCACGATCGTATCCACCATGAAGGGGACTTGGCTTATTGTTCCCTCCATGTCAGAATGAGGCATGGTAACTGCCCATGGGGCAGGGGTAGGATGCACCTCACTTCTACTCACACCTCACGTTCTTACTCGCATCAAGATATGCCTGGAAAGCTGCCGGTCTGTGTAGACGCCACCCCGAGGCCTTGGACATGCAAGTGCACCGAGACTATTGATGTCGACCTCCCGAAAGAGGCTAAGGCCTGGGAGGGCAGCTCCAGGCAAGACTTGACATTGATACACAAGTTGTATATAATTCCAACTCTCCCTTCGGATATCTCGACGAAAGAACACAACACCAAGTCAGTCGCTCATCTCCTACCAGTCTTGTGCTTTCACGTTCATCATGCTTTCCACCTTCATCAGCTCCAGCCTTGGGGCTTTCCTCCTTGCTTCCCTCGCCAATGCCAACCCCATTCGTTCGGTTGAGCAAAGGCAGACAGGTTGCGGTACCAATGGTATCGGTAACCGAGAATGCTGGAACGGAGACTTCAACATTGATTCCGATTTCGAGATCTTGACACCGCCCCAGGGAAAGTTGAGAACCGTGAGTATCTTCTCTGCTTGATATTGAGCTTGTTCTGACGACTTGAGTAGTTTGACTTCACCCTAAGCAACTTGACCGATGTCGCGCCAGATGGCGTTCACAAGCCGGCCATGTTGATCAACAACCAGTTCCCGGGTCCCACGATCGAGGCGGACTGGGGTGACACCATTCAGATCAACGTCCACAACCAACTCCAGACCAACGGTACCTCCTTCCACTGGCATGGCATGCATTTGCGCGGCCACAATGACCAAGATGGTGCCAACGGTGTTACGGAATGCCCTATCCCCCCCGGACAAAGCAAGACATACTCTTTCCAGTTGACTCAGTACGGTACATCTTGGTATGTTAGCTTCTTTGTTGTTGCAGACTTGGACCCACCGACTAATGCGTCCGCTTCAGGTATCACAGCCACTTTTCCGCCCAGTACGGCAACGGCGTTGCAGGCGCCATCCAGATCAACGGACCGGCGTCCGCTGACTACGATATTGACCTCGGTCCGTTTGTTATCAGCGATTGGTACTACGGAACTGCGGATAACCTCTTGCGTCAAGCCGAGCTTGTGCCAGCCCGTCCCCCGCCTAGTGACAACATTCTCTTCAACGGCAAAAACATCAACCCACTTGGCGCTGGCGGTCAATACCAGAAGACGAGACTGACCCCGGGCAAGAAGCACCGTCTCAGGCTCATCAACACCTCCGTTGACAACACTTTCACCGTTTCCCTGGTAGGCCACAGCTTCACTGTCATTGCTACCGATCTCGTTCCCGTTAAGCCGGTCAGCAAGGACAGCCTCTTCATGACTGTCGGCCAGCGCTACGATGTAATCATTGAAGCAAACAAGGAAATTGAGAACTACTGGTTCAACGCAACTGTTGGTGGCGGCGGTCTTTGCGGCGAGACGAAGAACCCCCACCCCGCTTCAATCTTCTTCTACGATGGATCTCCGGATAGACTGCCAGTCGACCAAGGTACACCTCCCGCCAACTTGGGATGCGCTGATACCACCGGATTTACTCCTGTGCTCTCCCGAACGGCCCCATCAGACAAGTTTGATGCGAGCAAGACACTGGACATTGCTTTGGATACGCCGACTATCAACGGCGCAGCGGTCTATCGCTGGAAGGTCAATGGAAACGACATTGACGTTCAGTGGGACAAGCCAACTTTGGAGTACGTTGCTGAGGGCAACAACTCCTGGCCGGAACGTGCCAACATCATTGAGATCCCTGAGGCCAACGACTGGACTTGGTGGGTGATTGAGAACACGGGCGCTCTGCCGCACCCCATCCATCTCCACGGTCACGACTTCTTGCTTCTTGGCACTGGCAGCGGCACATTCAGCGGCTCAGAGGGCCTCAACTTTGAGAACCCCACACGCAGAGACGTTGCACAACTCCCCGGCTCTGGATGGATGGTGATCGCATTCAAGACGGATAACCCGGGCGCCTGGCTGATGCATTGCCACATTGCCTGGCATGTGAGCATGGGTCTCAGCGTTCAATTCCTCGAGCGGAAGAGCGAAATCGCTTCAACGCTCGACCTGGCATCTATCAAACCGACCTGCGATGCTTGGAGGAAGTATGAGCCAACCGCCGTGTGGGCCAAGCATGACTCCGGATTGTAAGAAGAACGCCGCCTTGGGCTGGCTGAGAACATAAACAGCATATGTGGCGTCCAATTGCTGAGAGGTCCAACTGCGGTGTGGTGGGCAGTCAACACGAGAGCACCAAGCCAGCCTGGCGCCTCAGCCTCCAACGTCATCCTGCTTTTATTGGCCTTTTTTCGGGCTGTGACTCGATTTCCGGGCGGTCACCCAACCCTCCATGATTACCAGGATTTGGTGCGGCGCGGAATCCGGGCCTCTCCGGTCCTGTCATGGGTCACCGGCGCGCATGACAGGTACACCACCTCTTCGCAGCGGACTTCCGGGCCTCACAAGCATTTCGCGCGCACGCGCACTAATTAATGATCGACTTACGAAGCAAGGATATGGGAGGAAAACATTTACTTTCAGCAGGCGCAGGCATTTCATTGGTGTTTTTCCTTATGCATGGATTGGAGTTGTCCGGTTGCTGATACCTATTTTGTCCGCTCCGCTCCAACGATTGGTCTATTTTCATTTACATGGGTTAAAACATGCATAGAATTGGGTGAGCAGGGTTGCAACATGATTTGCTCGGACTTTTCTACAGAAATATGCCTAATTTATTTGTTCTTTTTCCGTCAAATTTCTCAAGTAAAATAATGGTATTTTCCGCTCACACACATTTTCAGCCCTATGACCTAAGGTGAATGCAATGCAGTAAGCAATAATTTCCTGCGCGATGAGTTGGGAGCCGAGCAGAGAAGAGCAGGATTTCGGGGCGGGCTATCAGCGGAAAGTGGGAGGAGCTGTGCAGGAGTCGGCCGGAGGTAGCGGAATCCCGTCGCACACCAACAAGCACGCGACTATTGGGAACTCAAGGTGGCTAAGGCGATTAGAGTACTGCTTAGACGCAACCCTCAAAGTCGCCAAATGCCGAGGACTGCGGTAGGGGCGGATGCTACGTCTGGTAGTGGTGTGACCTCAGCTCGCATCGCCCCTAATCTGGCAAATTCCCTAGGCTCGGGATTTCTGGACTTATGTCAGCCTCGGTCGTCGGTCTTGGTGTGTCCGGGTGTGTTGGTGCCGGTGGTGTGTTTTGGGCGTGCGGATGAGTGCCGACTTGGCGCAGCTGGATGGGATTTTGACAGCGGAAGACGACAGCGTCTGGATCTCGCCATGGAATTCAATGGATGGGTTACATGTGCGATGAAGAGATCTTGTCTGCCTGCGGATTCCCGAGACGGGCGATGGCATGGGGACGGAGACGGAGGGGGACGGGGATGGATGCGGGCGGGGGGTCACTGCCAAGATGCTGCCAATGTTGATCTCGGAGCTTGGCGGGGTTTGGTGGGGGGCTTGGAGCTTTTGACGACCGCCGATGGTGTGGGGGTGGTGTCGGGGATCGCTGTGGAGATATTGCGGGCCCGGGCTCGGTGGAGTCCCGGGTCTGGAAGCTCGACGTCGGTCCTTCCTTCCTCGCAGTCCAGGTCCTTTCCTTCCATCTCAGGTAATTATCCACGTGACACGACGTACCTTCCTACCTTCTCTTCACCTTACCTTCCCTTGGGTACCCGGGGTACCTACTCAAGGAGCTTATTCACCTCATTCTGTCACCAGCACACCCATCCGGCCACTTGGCCGGGTGGGTTAGACTCTGACGCAGAGTCGATAGTAAATGAAATACTCCAATGAAGCCGTGCTGGCCTGAGGGGCGCGCTGTTCGAATCCGAATAGGGGCGTGAATTATCGAGTAAGTTATCACCAGCCCCATCCCTTGTTCCTTTCATTTTTACATTTTTTTCTTGATTTCAAGTTGGGGACTTACGACAGCTCTATTGTTACGGATGGCGCAAAGTTTTGATGGGCATAGGTTTTGGAGGATTGAATTTGAGGCCGCAAAGTCTCTATGGGAAGCATGTGTACTATGTCTTTGCTTCGCTGGCTCGTAGTAACCGGTTCACTACCTTCAGCTATACTGAAGTAAGTCATGTTTGGGTTTGGGACTCACAACGATGACACACGTGAAGGATTACCTCTTGAACTTCCGAACTATCTATCATAAAGATAATCGCAGATACCAATCATTTCGTGCTGAAGCTCAGCCGCTCAACTCCCTCCGTGGCATGAACCGCTGCCGCCGCTGCTATTGCAACAGCATTAACGACTCAAGTATCGCCGGTACTACACATCATTATTCCCCTACCCGAGACATCTCAACTTACAAAGACGTCTTTTGCGCCCTCTCTACAACCGACAAACCCCTCCACGTGCGGTCCACAGACGTGACACGAGTCATCTTCAGATGCTAGTCATCTGGTCAGGAAACCAACCATCGGAATAATCACTTTGACAGAGGTAATGTTAGGGCAGACGAGTGACCTGTTGCGACGGCCTGAAGGGCTTTGTTTATTATACGCGCAGGGATCCGGGGGCATACAGGTTGGCGAGAGCCTCTTCAATTGTTGCTTCCGTTAGAATAGTCTAGGGTTGGGAGGAGAGTGGGAGCTTGGTAAGAGCTTTAATTAGGTGTGCTGCTGATTCCATTGCACCGTTGCCGCCTCGGACTGTTATGAGATGGAATGATGCCCATGGAATCTAAAGGAGCGGACTTGTTAGCGATCTTTGGTGAGAACCGTCACCGCGGACTCGGTTATCTCGACGCTGACTGCGCGTTGATTTGGGAGCGCTTTCTTCCTGTAACTGCGACTATTGCATACAGTCTAGAGAGGATAGATCTATCCATCTATAGACACTGATATACGGCCCTAAAAGCAAGTATCTACATGACTGCGTGGATTAGACAGCAACTATCCAGGAAGAGACAACCTCGCTCTTCCTGCAGATGCTCGGAGATAGCGACATGCCCCGAGGAGCGCAGACGTCGCCCGCCGACTTTTCTGTATTTCATGCGATAGCTACAGTCCCCTCGCCAGCTCGACGCGAGGATCCCCGAGTAGCATACGAGTTGCTCGAGGATGCGCAGGCCATTGGGGAGGTGGCCGATGCTGGCATCGTACGCACTTGGGGTGCGATGAAGGGGTTAGTAGACTTCGAGATGGGTATAATTTATGCCGTTCAACTTTCAGATCATGTCTGACAGCATGAGGCCAGCGACTTTGACGGCGAGGATGAAAATTCTGAGGTATATGGTGGGTAGTGGTCATGGCGATAGTGGTGGTGAGGAGGGCGCGTGGGTCATCGAGGGGTTGGTGTAGGTGACGGCACTGCTGCTGGGTATCGAGACGTCTGTTGAAGGTCAGAACCCCTTTATTGAAAAAAATGGAGGTCAGTGAGTTCGCTTGGGCCTCGTGTGAGTGAGGGTTGCTAACGTATTCTGCTACGACTAAGTTATCCTAGGTATGGCGGAGCTCGGATCTTGGAAACTTGAGCGTGCCCGATGACAGATATGATATCAAACATGATCACTGCCCGTCTACCATATAGATGGCATGAGGAAAAGTGAGTTTCAAAACTAGTGCCATGCAATCTTGTACCAAAGACTCCAAGGGTGACGCGTGAATCAGAGGACTCCGTCTCTCGTGGGTGTCGTGCTCGTGCGACGATCCACAAACCGGTTGTACAGGAGACTGAAAGTGAAGCACGAGGGTTATCAAGTGCGCTTATAGTCGTGAGAAGTTATCTTCGGGCATTCACCAACCTGTCAACATCAGGTAGCTGTAGATACTGTGGCTTCGATGTATTCGCGGGGTGAGGGTATCGACGGAGCCGAGTCAGACAAGAGGTAACTGCGAAGCTTGTCGTAATTCGCATGACTATGGAGGCGAAGTAAGATCTTCATTTTGGTACATATTCCGCAGAAGATGCAGTTTGTGACCTTCTGCATGAGAGATCTCTGCTGCAACCCAGCGCTCGGGCTTCTCCATAGGTCAGGTATGGCCACCCAGAATCGATCTTCCACAGTAAGCGGTGGTGGCTGCGTCTGGCCCGCCTCGTCTCAGGGACATGCGAAGCTCGAACAGTTCCCAAAGAGCTTGTGCAATAATACAAGACCAAAGCATTTCGTCCTTCATTGCAAATGATTATATGCCTATCTATAAGATTAGCTGAGGGTTCTTGCAAACCACCCAGGACAGACAGTAATGGAGCACTGGACTTTCGTCAGCGCATTGGGCATACCAATTCTCGCTATAAGTCTAGGCGATTTAGGCGCCTTGTCCGCGCTAGCAAGATGTAAAATTGGGTGAAGTCACTAGGTTTATCAGCAAAGAAAGAAGCATGCCATCAGACTCCACGCCCCCCTCCCCTGACAACTCTGGAAGAGCCTATTGAGTTTCCAGAAAACATTCTCTGAAGAGCTTCGATGAGATGTGTTGCGTGGATGCCGCATTCCTGTACAACCTTAAGGTTTGACCGCCCCGACTCACATTGACCTTCACAACTAGACACCCGACCTCGCAACCATGGCTGGGGAATAGGATTATTGGGAAGCAAGCTCGACAACATCTTTATCCCTGTTCAGAGACTGAACGAGTGAACTTTTCGAACGGTTTTCCAGCATTTCTTAGACTAACCAATACAGCTCCGCCAGCACAGCGTGTGGACCCGCCCATGCAAAGTAGAGCAGCCTCATCAGCGCCTAATTTTCAGGCTACCTAATATGCCTTGATGTATTCGCATAGAGCATCTCAATCCCCCGGCGAAGGATTACCCCATACCTCCCATTCTCCCTGTTCGCTGGAGACAATGCACATCGCCACCTCGTAAATATTCCAATACGCTTCAGCTTCAGAGTGGATGAGCTTCATGACGCACGTCAAGTCCCCATCTATAAGCGCCGGAAGCACTGCCAGCGGGAGGCCGCAGTGGAAGTCCCACCCCAGCCACAATCTTCTCTACGTAGACGGCTGAAGACAGGTTGATCAGCCCGCATGGCGGCACGCCTGCTTGCAGTAACCACTAAATCCACGTCCCAGGGTATTCTACTACATGGCCAAGATACATAGGCGGCTATGAATGTTTTCCGTGCCCGCTTTACAATTGTGACATGTCGATTTTGGTAAGTCGGGCCAGCGGGATAAAAAGACAAACGGCACCCACCTATGGTGGTCACGACAGACTGCCCATTTTTGTCTGTCCTTTGCTCCTCATCGTGCTGCTGTTACGCCTTCTCCATTAGCAACGTTGATCTCAAAACATACGAGTAGCACTGCTGTAGAAGAATCTCATAGCATCGGCATCGTTTACAGCTTACAAGTTCGCAGAGTAAGGCACATTTCTCGTTCACTATCTCAAGACAGTATCATGATGACCTTGCCGGAAGTGGTATGGAACGATCATGCTGAGTTCTAGTGTCAACTATGACCAGGCGTGTCGCTCTACCTGCTGACTATGGATCTCAGATTATGAGAGACGATTGATCAGTCTTCGTCGAGCAGACACGATATTCCGGAAGCATGGCCAACATTCAGTACCAAGCATCGGGAACTCCAGTATCACAAGTCGAGAACGATGTCGCTCAGACTCTCAATCTTGCCGGCTCGATAGTCACCATCATCCGGGAACCTATAGCCCACATCTTCGAAACTTATACTAAAGCCCAGAAAATCAAAAAAAGCCTCGACATCTGGCAGAGAGAAATCTTGGACGAGAATGGCCAGCCTTGTATCCCTGTGCTTCGTCACCAAGAGTTGGAGAATCACCTCGAGAAAACCGACGGAATCATTCCTGCTTTCCAAGCAGAAAACCACAAGCAAAACCCTGACAGCAGTCGGAGCTACCGGATATCTTGGCCTGGTTGGGCGAGGCAGAGCCCGGAATCCGCTTCAACGCCGGCAATGCCTCCAGCTGGGACAGCTTGTTGGGGTTATTTCCTCTTTGCACTGGGCATCCGCCCCGGGATGAAGACGGTCAGTAGAAGACCATCGACCGATGGCTTCATTAGCACCCAGAATGGTGGCGTTGAGATGGAGATTGACGGTTCTGCGTTATGCCATGTAATGAACCTATATTCTACGAATAATCTTGATCTCCATGCGCCTTTTCAGCCCACGAATCGGTGCCGTATGAGCTTCGGAACACTCAGTTGGGAAATGGCTATCAACCAGCCCCAAGTTCACGCACACTTCCGGCCGGGGATTGAGCACGAATTAGCTTCGGAGAAACGCCCATTCAGTCGATACAAAATTTCTATGGATGTTGGTACAATAATGGTGTCTTATCTGACAGCATTGCACCATAGCGTGTCAGACCAACGATTTCAACTTGCTGCTCCACAAGCGTCGCTATCAGAGCGAATCGAACGGCTTCTGGAATGCTTTCATATGCTGGGTGAACGGGTCACGAGAAGGATAATGTCTCGCCGTTCCAGAACCACACATCAGGATATCGATGGTGTTATATTTTCGCATGAGTGGTTCAATCAGGCCGCCAGTGTTAAACGGCGGCTTCTAGCCCAAGGGGGTGACGACCGCTCGTTCTTCGATGATATTCACGAGCGTTGTTCAACCGAGCGAGAAAGGAAGGGTCTCGGAGAATTTTTCTTCTTCGGAAAGGAGGGATTTGACTTTAAGCCGGGAATAGTTGAAAGGCGTAGTCTGCTTGAAACCCCAAGGCTACCTGAGGACATTGTCATGCAGGTATTGTTAAGCTACGAGACCTGTCCGGCTGGGTCATGGAAGCGCAGCCTGTTCGAAAGCAGAGAAGATGTCCTGAGAGTGGCCGCGATACCAAAGACCATTTACCCGGAGGATTATGCCCCAATGGTAATCTTATGGTATACACCTAGCTCTGATATTTGGGATCAGACAGTGCTCTTGGGGGCGCCTATATCCGCAACATAGGAGGAAGACGTTCTCAGGCAACCCAGAATTTATTAAAGTGCTTTTAAAAGCTACAGAACACATAGAATAGTGGGGTATCCGCTCGGGCAAAGAGGGTTTAAAGGTAAACCATTGTTGGAAATGTAGCCCGCAGCTACCGGTCTATTCAGACAAAACCAAGATGATCTGGTGCTCAATTCTAAAATCACTTTGGTGGAATACAGCTGAGTACAATCACTAATGTTTAATGCCAAAATAAAATCTGAATATTGCAGCGCTGAGAGTCTCGTTACCCGTTGTAAGACATAGTTTTCTTACACGATAGATTTTCTATCGCTCCAATAGTCGACGAAGTCTGTTCCTTCAGATGGTGCAAACGCCCTATTTCTCTAGTGGGGCAATCAAAAAGTCTGAGAACACCCTGCCTGTCCATCGGCACGTCCTGACGCGTCTTCCTCAATTCACCTCAAACGCTCTTGACCTCAACTAAATGGACGCCGATACCGAATTGCGCGCCTTCGCGGCCCGACTTCGAGGAGAACGGAGTTCTGGCTTCGAACTGAAAGAACAGGAACGCGTAGCGATTATTGCTCTTGTTCTGGGTGGCCGAAGCTATCGCAAGGTCGCAGCGATTTTCGGCTGCTCGCTCGGCGCGGTCGCATCCACAATTCGGCGGTACAATAAAGATCACACTTTCAAGGTAGCACCCCGGAAAGGCAGGCCGAAGAAAGTCTCGGCCGACACGTACGTGAATCCGGTACCCATTCCTGCTTCTACATCTTAACACTTGAACAGACAATCAGTAACATTGTGACTTGAGTCTGGATAATGGTTGGATCAGCTCGTGCGCTTGTCGCCACGATTTCGCGGGTGGCTCAGACCACGTGCTTACACTGAGCTCTGAACATGCTCTAGAGTCTTACACGTAGACCAGGTTCAAGGGGAACTCTTCACCAAGCTTAGTTCCGGGAATGCAGATCTGCAACGCATGATCTTTTCGAGGACATCACTTGTTGCTTGATACCAAGTATGGGAAATCTTGTTTTCTTCTCATTGATTGGTGACCACGGGGAGTTCTTCAACCAACTCTCTTTACTCATCCGCATCACTTCCCAAGTCCTCAGCGAAGAACTCCTCGGCGGCCTGCTCGCCTCTCTTGGCCACAACCTCCACAGGCTCCTCCTCGTCCTCAGGCTCGGTGGAGACGCGCCTCTCGAGATCGCCTGCCTCCTCCAGATCGGCCGCCACGAGGTCCGCGTTGGAGAGCTCCTGTCTCTTGATGACGATATCGGGCAAGTCGGCGACCGCCGCCCGGGCGAGAACGGGAGCCTGTAGGACATGGTATTAGTGACACGGCTCGAATGTGAGAGATAGCTGCAGGGGAGAGAGTAATGCGCAGCGTGGAATGCGGGAAGGATTTTGAGACTACTTACCACGGTGAGGGCTACGCCTGAGAGGCTGAGAGAGTTTACACCAGTAACGGCGACCAGGCCGACAGCGAAGAATGATTGAAGCTGCATCTTGAAAAAGTGAAATTGTAGACAGTGGTATTATAAGTCGATGGTAATATTAACTGGATTGAAGAGAAGCAGATCTGGATTGAAACTTGACACACAAACACCACAGGAAACGCACGAACTTTGACCTACCTATATACCATTCACACACCCGGGAGGTTATTGGGAGACGTGCGCCCACATGCCGTTCAGGCGAACATCTGAAGTTTTGCCAGATGACGAATTCGACACTGTTGGGAAACCAGCGTCAGTGTCAAAAGTATAACCGCAACAGTCCGTTTCACATGTTTTGACCAAACCCCCAAAAGGACAGGCCTACACAGTAAGGCGCTGCAGCCCTGGCGAAGGTCCAGGCATGCCCGCCGCGGGGGGTCAGCCGGAGAGGGGAACAAGGTCCTAGTGTACAGCTGCAAAAGGACGGGCAACGCGGCCAAAAACTCTGACTGCCCGCGTCGCGGTGCTCTCGACCTGTCAGATCTTCGTCTCATGGATGGTGAACGACTATCTACACAACTCTCAAACCCACTGACATCCTTCAGAATTCGCTCACTGTTCGGACGGGGGTCACTGAAGCTACGCGGGCCCTGTCAATCCTCCCCTTCCCCCTCAGTAGCCCCCGGGCCCCTCGTGGCCCCCCTAAGAGACTGGTGGGAAGAGGTGGGATGAGACCAGAGATTCTGTGTCGGCGGGGGCCAACTACACTGTACATGGGCAGCTGTGGTGAAACAAGACAGGTTTCTGACGGAACTCTCGTGGTGCGACGTTTGTGTGAGAGTGCCAAGCCTGGGTTGCGCTGTTGCACGACTCTCTCTCCAGGGATCCACTTTCGCCCTCGCCGTATCCGTAATCGTCAGATCAATTGCGGGAATTTGGGGGTGACAGTTGCCGGTTGCCGATTGAAGGTCGGCATATCGGCATGGTTGAAATGCGTTGAACGGCCTATCAAAGTCGGCAATTGAGTGTCGTCGAAGGGGACTGTTGCTGAAATAGTCACGTAAGTACCATCTTTCAACATGGCCCAGCCATTTTCGTCTGAGGCATCCGTAATCAGTACGTTCAATACATCAACCAGACAACATGACGCAAGGCAATGCAGTATGTGAAAAGAGCCTCAATCATGAATCCATATTCGTGAGTTCGTAATAGTTCTTTTTATCATCCCAAGATGCCCAACGCTTGGCAAGTGCATGAGATGATAGCGCTACCTACTCTAAACCCGTCTAAGCCATCAAGGTTCTCTCCAAGCTCCTATAAGATGATGATTCTAGTACAACTCCATCTTTTCTAAATTTTCAAGATGAATCAATCCATTGGCAGGCTGTTAATTTGTCAGTATTGGATCAACAAATGCTAAGTATCCCTCAAAGAAACTTACCGGAATGTATTGCCTCAACTTGACACCCGCTTGCCGGAACACAGCTGCCGTCTCTGTATCCATGCTGTATCCATGAGCATACACCACCTCGTCGATACCGACCTGGCAGATCTTGATGCTACACGTCAAGCAAGGGCAAGTATCACAGTACAGCACGGCGCCCTCGCGGATACGCTCCCGGCCAGCCTCCAGCAGAGCATTCTCCTCGGCGTGGATGCACAGGCACGTAGCCAGGCCGACGCCAGACGAGTTGCCCGAGTCGCAGCGGGAGCAGCCACCGTCGGAGCAGTTCTGCAGGCCGCGGGGCGTGCCGTTGTAGCCGGTGGAGATGACGCGTTTCTCGCGCCCGACGAGGACAGCCCCGACGCGGCGCTTCATGCAGTTCGAGCGTAGGGAGGCGAGCTCGGCCAGGGACATGAAGTAGGCGTCCCAGGTAGGCCGGAGGCGGACCGGGTTGGCGAGGTCGAGCTTGCCGAGCGTGGCGTAGAGGTGCGCGATGGAGGAGGAGGTGTTGAGGAGGCGGACGGTCGCGCGCGAGATGAGCGGTTGCAGGCCCTGTTTTGGGTCGTAGAGGTGGGTGTCTGAGGCGAGGGCGAAGGACTCGAGGGTGCAGTGGGGGTTGTGGAGGGCGCGGAAGCGGGCGTGGCGGACTGTCAAGGGAGCGTCGACGGAGATGAGCATGAAGAAGGGACGTCTGGAGAGGACATCAAGGATGGCTTCGTTGTGGACGTCTGTGGTGACGAAGCGTGATTGCCAGCGGGTGGTGACGTATTCCAGGAGGTCGTCGGCGGAAGAGAAGACGAGCTCGTTGGGATAGTGAGAGTGAATACCGTTGGTACGCGGTTGTCCGCTCAAGATAGTCAGGGGAGCGGGAGAGGACGCAGGTTTCTGCTGCTGTTGTTTTGGCTCTCTGTCGGCGTTGCTGCTAATAGCAACGGCGGTATCTATGCTCCCTTCAGGGGCCCATTGAGGATGAGGGCATTCAGCCTTGGTGTGGCCTTTCTCGTTGCAGTTGAAGCATGAGCCCGATGCCCCTCCCCTGTTCTTCTTCTTCTTGTTCTTTGAAGAAGACTGCTGTTGAGAACCGGAGGCATTGTTGCCGTTGGTGAACTGAGAGTCAGCTCGCTCCGGCTCTGGCCGGGGCTCCGGCACCGGGGCAGGTTTGGAGACCGGAGCCTCATCCCGGGGTGGAGTTGCGGCCGGGTCCGTCAGGCGGAGCAATCTGAAGCCATGATGCTCGACCAGGTATTGAGCAACGCTCTTCTTGCCGGCACAAATGCCTTACGATTGTCAGCATCATTCTTCAGTCGCTGAGGCGGATTAAATTTGACTCAGGGGTCGGTCGACTTACCACCACAGATTCCAATAAGCATCTTGGCCAAGGTGCCGTGCTAGACGAGATTAGGTTGTAAGAGTAAGTACCTCAATTGGAAAATCGGCAAAACTGATTGACTCTGCACTTATCCGTCGCTCGTCAACCTCCGATGTACAGCTCTGCCGGTTGCGCAAACTCCTCAAAATCAACCCGGCAACAAGTGTCCAATGGAAAAGTCGCGATCTGAATTCTTTGCATGAACGCGTCTCCACGCGTAAAGCCGTTTTTGCAGCTCGGGCCCGATCAAATGGGTGTCCCCCGCGCACGTCGGTCGATTTACTCCGATATTTAGCCGGCGGGACCTGCAGAGCATGACACAATCATCTCCCGTGGCACCGAGCGAGCTCCTGTCCCCCACCTTTGGTCGTCCAGCTGAGGTGGGCAGCCTGGCGGGGGAGAAGCTACCCGAACGGGCACCTGCCCACGGTGTTTGCCCTATCATGCCTCACCTGTCAGACAACCATCTCACCCTCAAAGGAAGCTCTCACCAGCCTTGTTCTTGTGACTTCCTGACTCCGACAAGCCGCCGCTTGACTGCCTGTTCTCGTGACTCTTTCCAACTTGACATTTCCAAGCATCCCTCAGGCACAGCGACATCGCCCGGACCCCTCCGCTTTGTCCGGAGACTATACGGAACTGCGACCTGCCTGTTCCGTCATACTGTACCTAAGCCCTCGACACTTTTGAGTCATTTCGACCTAGATCGCGACCTGCTTTCGGTTTATTCTTCTACATACCCAAATTTCCGGAACATACCTGAAGTCTACAACGTTCTCCTGGAGTCATTATCGTAGCATAACCCAAATACCGAGTTCAGGCGCAAAACATCGCGAAGACTGCCTGCATTTCCCCATACGAGCGCAAAAAAGCGCGCGTCCGCCACAGCTTGCTCACCATGGCAGCAATCCAATATGCGCCCTTCTCCTCCGAGATCGAACTGCCGTTTTACGCAGCCCTCTTCTCCTCAAAGCTCGAACATGACAAGCTAGACGACTCGGCGCGCCGCGTGCTTGGCCAGTACACTGCCCTGCCTGTCGAGCCAGGCCAGAGCTGCAAGATGTCCATCCTTGGGAATGCCCTCACTAGCGACCAGTAAGGCGCTCTCGCAGATCTTCAGGTCTGCTTCACGTAGATCAGGCTGGGACTGACGAGGAGAACAGGCCCAACGATGAGCATGTCCGCGCCGAGGGCTTCATCAAAAACGTTAATACGATTGAGGACTTCAAGAATACGGACAAACAAGCCATGCTGAAAATGGCAGCGAGACATGTAAGCCGAAATGGTAGTTGCATTAGTACCTGAGCGAGCTCTGACGATCGCCTTTCCAGGTATGGGACGCCATAAACGACGGCACCATCTACTCCGTACCCTCCCTCCTCTCCTCCTTTACGATTCTCTCATACGCCGACTTGAAGAAATACAAGTTCACATACTGGTTCGCGTTCCCAGCGCTGCACTCAGACCCTCAGTGGAAGCGTACAGGACCGATCGGCCGCCTTGACCCAAAGGAGAGCACGGCACTGGTCGATCGAGTGGGCACATGGCAAGCCAACCGCGACAAGAGGCAGAACGGATTCTTCCTCGCCAAGAAGGCGAGAGGTGTGGATGTCAGCGATTTGGATAAGGACGCGAATAGCGATCTCCACGACCTCAACGATACGTTTGGCTACGTGTGGGAAGTTGCTAACCTCGGAGAGTTCGAGAACGGTTTCTTCGACGACGTTGCCGAGGAGGACCGATACGTTTCATTCGTCGACCCTTCGACGTACCCCGAAAACCCTTCATGGCCACTGCGAAACCTTCTCTGGCTTGTTCGGCAACGGTTCCGGCAGACCAAGGTTCAGATCTTGTGCTACCGCGATATCAGATCTAGTAGGCATGCGGCTAGAAGCATCATCCTGCCATTGGAGATGGATCCAGTTGAGCCACTCGCGGTGGCTGAAATGCCCAAGGTCACAGGCTGGGAGCGAGATGGAGAGGGCAAGCTACGAGCTAGGATCGCCAACCTCGGGGAGTACATGGACCCAACGCGACTGGCCGACCAATCCGTGGACCTGAACCTCAAACTCATGAAATGGAGGATTTCGCCAAATCTGGACCTTGATACTATCAAATCCACGAAGTGTCTGCTATTAGGAGCTGGCACACTAGGAAGCTACGTTTCCAGAAACCTCATGGGCTGGGGTGTAAGGAAGATCACGTTTGTGGACTATGGACGCGTATCGTATTCGAACCCTGTGCGGCAGCCTCTGTTCGAGTTCGAGGACTGCTTGGAAGGCGGCAAGTTCAAGGCGACGCGGGCTGCAGATGCCCTCAAGAGGATCTATCCCGGGGTTGAGAGCGAGGGTCACGTCCTATCGGTCCCTATGTTGGGCCACCCCTTTACGGACGAGGCTAGGAGTAAGGCCGACTACGACAAGCTGAAGCAGCTGATTGACGAGCACGACGCAATTTTCCTTCTGATGGACAGCCGAGAGTCAAGGTGGCTACCGAGTGTTCTAGGCAAAGCAACTGGGAAGATTGTTCTCAACGCCGCGCTTGGTTTCGACTCCTTTGTCGTCATGAGGCACGGTGCTGAACCAACTGATGTTCAGCCAGAGGACAAGGAGCGCAAGACACTGGGTTGCTACTTCTGCAACGACGTAGTTACACCAGCCGACGTGAGTTTACTGTGACTTCTCGAGTTCACCTCCCACTGACATCTTGCAGTCGCAAAAAGATCAGACCCTGGACCAACAATGCACCGTAACCAGACCTGGTGTCGCGGCGATCGCGTCGGCACTGTTAGTCGAACTGTTCGCGAGTCTGCTCCAGCATCCCCTTAAGCAACACGCGCCGGCGCCCCAGACTTCGGCAGATGAGAAGGATCCCGTGGACCATGCCTTGGGACTTGTGCCCCATACTGTCCGCGGCTACCTGCATAACTTCAACAACAAGGTTATTCGCGGAGAGTCGTACCCATGCTGCAGTGCGTGTGGCCCACCGATTCTAGAGGCTTACCGAAACGACGGCTGGGGTTTCGTCAAGAAGGCGCTTTTGGAGAAGGACTTTGTTGCCGAGTTATCTGGGCTCGCAGAGGTTCAGCGGGAGGCCGAGAAGCGGGCGGCATCTATGGATTGGGAAGAGGAGGAAGATGGAGCGGATGACGGGGATGGAGAGTTGATTTGAGAAGTCAGGCTCTCGCGCAATATACGAATTATGGTCGAATTTTACAATGAGCTTTCACGGCGGAATAGACGAGGCGTTCGAGTCCGGGACAGGATACTGTTGGCGTTTGGCATTGATAGAGTCCCTGTTGAGACTTTCTTTCCCGAGAATTCCAACTCGTAGTTTAGCCAGATGGGCGGAACATCATTTTGAGATCATGGATGAATATGTTTTGAGCAGCTGATACACGGTACTTCAGTCCACCCATCCCGTCGTGATTTCTCATCCATCGACATTTACACATGTGCAGAGCAGAGCTCAGAGCTCACAGCTCTATCCGTACGAACCTGCGGATAAGCATTGTGCAAACTTCGGGCCTTAATGCGAGAGGTGTGCAGATGACAGGGTTCCCCACACTAGCTGACCCTCTGCTTCCCGCCCGTGACCGAGAATGCAACCGTCCAATGACCCCCGAATCCTCAAAGTCCCATGTTGGATTAACACATTTATGCGGCCGATACCCCCGACTCTGTTAACGACCTCCAACCTTCCAGGTACCAGCAACCTCCCCCGGCTCATTTTCCACAGCAGCCGCAGCTTCCCCCTGACGGCACGCCCAGGTTCCCGAAGGCGCTATGGACTAGGTACCTGGGCGTGGCGGAGGATTACCTAAGTGCGCTAAAGCACGGGGTGTGCATTTCTTTTAGTCAGGTGTGCCGGGAGGTAAGACAGAGCAGCCGACCATTCCAGGTTAGAGGTAACACTGTGTTCCGTCCGTATTCATCTCATCGTCGGCCGCTCTTGTGCTCTTTTTTGATATTGTACCATCATCTGTGTTTCATGACTCTTTCCATTCGCGTTTCTTAACCCATCTTTGTGCTTGTTCCATCGGAAGATGTAGAAAAGCGGTCGAGAGCCTGGATTACGCTACATATCGAATGCTGTGAGACTGTGCTTGGGGAGCGTGGGACGATTCTGGTGATTTGAGGTTGGAGGAGAGAAGGACGACGACCAGCGGCGGATTCATCGGGAAACTCGATTCTGAGTCCGAGACTCATCGCCATCGCGTGTGACAGAGGTTTAGTCCGTGTTTTATCGCTACGGGCGCGCGAATACCATCTCTGCGACTCTGCACTCGCTGCAAGAGACGCTCACATACGCGGATATGCTACGCTCCATCATCCGGCGCCTGGCGTCTGACCAGCCCGAGTCCGTCAACGACTACATTGGCGTCGTGGTACCGCTTGAAGAAGCCCACTTGCATAGCCACTCGGCCCGGACTGGCAAATGCGAATTCGAGGAACGGCCGAGTGAGGACGAAGACGATGACGCAGAGGATGACGGCAAGGACCAGAGTGAGAGCGCGGGGATGCTGGAGATGAGCGCCGCCGAGTACACCATCGAGGGTCTCAGAAAAGAGGTCAGGAGAGGTGGGCAAGGGCGATGGACTGAGTATGAGTGTGAGTTTGAGATCTTCGACGAAGCATCGAAGAAGAATCCGATGGGTCGGTGAGATGGGTGCTGATGTGGGGGACAGTAAAATCGAAGCTCATCAACAAGGCGATTCAGGATATTGGCATGGGGCGGTATAACTGGCAGCTCTTTGTCCTTTGTGGATTTGGCTGGTTTGCGGATAAGTGAGTCTCTCTGCCACCTTATGATGAGGATAATGCTGACCGGTTTACTAGTTTGTGGATGCACGTAAGTTCAGCTTCAGCCTGGTTCCCATCAGCAGCCATGGAGTCTTCAAAGGTACTGACAACGATTTCAGGGTGTTGCACTCACACTCCCTTCTCTGTCCGCGGAGTTTGGCATCTCAGAACAGCGTGTACGTTACACGACGTCGTCCATTTTCCTCGGACTCTGCTTCGGTTCCTTTATCTGGGGCATCGGCTCTGATGTCTTGGGTCGTCGTATCGCCTTCAACCTCACGCTTCTCATCACCGGTGTCTTTGGCATTTTGTTGGCTTTCGCACCGACATGGGGCTGGGTGAACTTCCTCTTCGCGGCCCTCGGTTTTGGCGTGGGCGGAAATCTGCCAGTGGATGGCGCGCTGTTCCTCGAGTTCTTGCCGGACGCGTCGAGCAGCCTGCTGACATTGCTGTCGGTGTGGTGGCCGGTCGGGCAGCTGTCTTCGTCGCTGGCGGCGTGGTATTTCATTGCCAACTGGCCTCCCGAACAGGGATGGCGGAGATTCGTTTTGACTATTGGGCTGATTACATTCATCATGTTTGTTGTTCGGTTCTTCGTCTTCCGATTATTTGAATCTCCGAAGTTCTTGCTCTCTAAGGGGCGTCAGTCCGAAGCTATTGCCGTCGTGCATGGCATCGCCTCTCGTAACGGCGTAAAGACTTGGTTGACTGAGGAAGTCCTGGACGCAGTAGTCGATGGCGTGGCAGACGAGGATGAGGACCATTCAAGAGGTGGCCGCTCGGGAGTGTTCCGCGGGTCCGGCGTCGCCGCAAACGCTCTCCGCGAGAGAATGAAGGCGTTTTCCGCAGACCGACTTCGACCACTCTTCAAGACTCGAACCCTCGGTCTCGCCACTGTCGTAGTCTGGTTCGTTTGGGCGACTATTGGCATGGGCTATCCCCTCTTCAACGCCTTCCTCCCGCAGTACCTCTCCCATGGCGGTGCCGCCCCTCCGCCCGAGGACTCCCCAGATGCAGGAGCGACACCAATCACGCCAGACACATATCGAACCTACGCAATCACCTCCGCCGTCGGCGTGCCAGGCAGCTTGTTGGCAGCCTACCTAGTCGACCAGAAGTCCCCCTGGCTCGGGCGCCGCGGCACGCTCGCCTGCTCGTCCTTTGTCTCAGCCGTCTTCCTCTTCATGTTTGTCAAGTTCGGCACCTCGCCCGCCTCGCAGCTCTTCTTCTCCTGCGTCGAGGCCTTCTCCCAGAACATCATGTACGGCGTACTCTACGCCTTCACGCCGGAGATCTTCCCCGCGCCGGTGCGTGGGGCCGGAACGGGCGTGGCGAGCTTCTTGAACAGGGCCATGGGGCTTTTAGCGCCGTTGTTGGCGGCGAATATGCCCGGGGATGGGGTCACGACGCCGATTTATCTGTCTGGGGCATTGATTTTGGCGGCGTTTGTCGGGATGTGTCTGATTCCTATCGAGACGAGGGGTCGGCAGAGGCTGTGATTGTTGGGCTGTGTAATCCTAAGATTCAAGAAGGTGTGGAAGTTTCCTGATATACAAAAATCTCTTAGAAGCAAGCTTTGAAGACCTGCGGTTGAACAACGAGTGCCTAGGTCTTTCTTGTTCTACATGATCTACATCAATACCTTCGCAAAAGCATCCCCTAGCCCGCGTTCCATCAACCACCCTTCCACAGCCTTCATGTCGCCCCTGTTCGCCCTCTGTCCTCTCCTCTCACCTACAGAGTCTGTAATCTCTGACATGTCCGCAAACACTCTCTTCGAAATGTCCTTTTCGCGATGCCTCTCGCTAACCTTTTTATGATGCGCAGGGATATCGCCCCAGCTCTCCGTCTTGATGAACTTCATGTAGTCGTCGATGCTCTGCGACCCGCCCTCCAGGCACAACAATCCCGGCTTCCCGGCGTAGAGGAAGCCCGTGAGGTGGTACGCGGGCGCGTTGATGATGAAGTCGTCGCGCTTGGAGCGGGTTGAGATGGAGGGGAAGTAGAACCACACCCGCACCATGGGACCTGCGTCGGCGGTGTCAGCAGCATTGGAGACTGCTGATTCAGCTTCTGCTGCTGTTTTTGCTTCTTCGAGGTATGCGACTGCTGTTTCGTTTATTGCGTCTATAATGCTGAAGAGGTCATCGTCGCCGTCTGGGATTTGGGCGTTGAGGTGGGCGGTCGCTGCGCGGTTGAGCCATGATGGTTGGAGGATCCGGACTCTTATCCGGGGCGCTTCTTCTGGTGGTTCGTCGGCTTCGTATGAGAAGGGTACATTGATGTCTAGTTGCAGGGTTTTTGGCGATGAGGGGTCTTGGTCCGGTTCCGGGACGGCGAGGGTGAGTAATATGGTCACTGTTGGTGCGCGGCTCAATGACGGATTTGTGGTTTCACTGCCTTCTTCAAGATGCGATTTGAGGAGCTGTAGAAATTTTTCAGATTCCTTGTCGATTGAGACCTCATCTTCTGTGGGGTACATTGCTGTGAGGAGGTCGATTTGGCCGATTTGGTGTTCGATCAGGTCGGGTGGTAAGAGGTGCCATGATGACGCGGCTGCCATTGTGAATTAATAGCTGTTAACTAGCCGTTAAATCTTGAACTTCGCGACTGCTAGTTCCAGTACCTTGGTCCTCGTGACTTCCTCGTAGTGTTGGTCAAACTGCCATGACTTGGTGAGAAAAGGCTCATTCTGAGATATTTTCGAACCTCATCTGAGCCACACTTTTCAGCCACATGCGCCACACTTGGGAGATTCTCATGATGCTGGGCAGCTTTATGAATCATTTGATTAATAGGCTGTTCAGTTGGTCTTGGAGCTTATGGAGAAACAATCCCATGCCCCTGGGATTGTGGACGTCACCTGTTGTAGAGGCAACGTCTGGCCGCATCCCAGTCTCGTAAGGGCCATAGGAAACAGCAACAGCAAAAGACAAGCAGTCGAATCTCACGTGGGAAGCGAGAAATTCACCTAAGTAAAGTGTGAACTGGTGTGTCAACCACCGAATGATGATTTTCTACAAAAAAGTACACGCGCGTCTAATGTCTGCTCTATCTGTTACCCTTCGCACCAGCTGGTGCATCCACCCTGCGTTTCTGGAACTGCTTGCCAATCGCATCTCTGACCATCGGGTCCGCCCTGATGGTGTTCTGAACCAACCAATCTTTGACCTTGGCACGCACGCTGCTGAGCGCCTCCTTATCGCCAATGAACGGCGTCATCTCCATCTCCAACAACCTGCTCGTCTCGCCGTCCAGACCGCGGGCCATCATCTCGAGTCGCTGTAGGCCCTCGTCAACTGCGGCCGCCGAGCTCTCCGCCGCTTTCTGCGCCGCCTGGCCCTGGGAGTTCAGCAGAGGACCGAGCTGGCCGAAAGCGATGTAGATCGTGACAGCGGCCTGACGAGCGAGCGACACCAGCTGGAACTGGAGATAGGGCGGGCGGCGCAGCGCTGTGCTCAGCACTGTGTTGAAGATGGCCAGGAATGGCGGCATCTCGGGCCGAGTAACAACGATGAGCTCCGCGACGAAGAAGGTGAGAAGGATAATCCATCGCCAGTATCGTCCCCAGTCGAGGTATCCCAGCAGACTCAAGCCGTAAGTAGCAGCCGCCGCGATGCTGTAGTACGGGATCGTCCCCTGCATAATGCCACGCGCGACAAAGTCGTGAATGGTCTTGCAGCCCTGCCAGGCACCGACCTCGGGACCGAAGCGCTCGTAGGCGAAGCGACGGGCTGGGTCGGAGAGGGTCTCTGAGGCGGTCTTCAGGTGCATGAAGCGCGCAGCGGCCGCGCCAGTGTCAGCGCCATTTGTGCCTGCCTTGTCTGGATGGTAGACGGCCGCGAGCCGGCGGAAGCGAGACTTGATTATGCGGACAGGGGCACTGGCGGCGACGTCGAGGTCGGTGTAGAAGGTTCCTTGCAGGCGGAGGGTGCGGTCGGCCTCGACAAGGGTGTAGAGGAGGTAGAAGGAGACGACGAGGATGTGGATTCGGCGGCGGTGGGTGGCATACTTCGCGGTTCCGGGCTGAGGCTTGGGATCACCGGCGCGGATTGCCAGACCGTAGTAGATCGCTTGGACCCAGCCGGTGACTAGCTGTGAGGGATGTCAGTCGTTGCGATGCTCAATGTGGAGGGGTTAGGTCGTGCGGCAGGTATCACATACGTTGGGCAAGAAGGCCCAGCCTAGAAGGGAGAGAACATTTGACATTGTGATGATCTGCGCATCCCTTTGAGGCGGCCCAAGTATCTTGTGGAAAGACGAGTAAGGAAGAGCGATCGCGACGTTGTCGAGGGAAACTTGATCAACAGTCAATAGTTGTGATGTCAATTCGCGACCGAGCTTACTGACTTGCTGGCGTTTTCGACCAGTGTCAACTGCCAAGAGCTGACCTCATTATTTGTGGGACTTGAAGCCAGGGCCTGATCCCTGCCATATGGGGGCGGACCAGCGTCTCGCTTATGTCATCTGAAATCATCATCTCATCTACCATCTGCATGAATATTCAATTTCGCAACTTGGAGGTCATCACGTGGCTATTTGACATCCTTTGGAAAGCCCTCGTCTTCCCTCGTCTCCTACTCTGAATTTGATGGAATGTTTCGTTGCTTTCCGACTTTTTACCCCTTCAATCCAGAACTTGAGCGCTGGTCAGGGGACCGGGGCCCCAAAACTCTTACACTCGTCTTGTGTCCCAGATTCGTCGATGGCGATATTTGTTTCTCGTCTACACGTAATGCCAATCATCGCTACCTTCGAAGTAGACACACAGACTTCTACCAGGTATTGATTCACTAATCACTTCATGCTTATTCGAGCAATGCTTGACCGCCAATTCGAATGTCAGACTGGAGAGTTCGAAGCTAAGGTACTCCGCAAAGCCTATGTTAGCAATCCCCACGATAGAAGTGGACAGCGAGACATTGTGGAAGATGAAAGCTTTGATCGGTCATAGGACTTTTTCAACTCTTGGCGGTCTTCATTCTACCTTAATCTGCGGTGGAAATATCGGCCGAATCTGTTTGATCGCCTATAATAACTCAGAAGTGAATACGACGAACCTTCTGCCCACCCTTCAAACTTCTCTATACTCCAACTTAAATTAGCGGAGATTTGTCCGACTAACTCGCTATGTTATACCTCACATTTCAAGAAAGGAAAAAAGCCAGTCTATGAACGATTGGGTTCTGGAGTCTGGCGGGGCGATAAAGCTTGGGAGAAAGCTTGGCACTGGCCTGTGTATCCTGCTTCGTGATCAGAAGGTTAGTTTGCCTCAGCGAAATGTCTGTGTCAATGGCACAACATCTCTAGAAAATGAATCTAGTCTTCAAGGCTAATGTTAGAGTCGGAGGCTAAAAGTCTGCATTGAGTCTGTTAAGATATCGAGACAACCCAGTTGCTGATCATTAATGTCGACGATTGCTGAGAACATATTGGCCGTGATGACACATCTCGACCGGAACATCCGCACTCTTCTTATTGATGAGACCTCTTCGGATAGTTCCAATACTGACTCCGTAATAGTCAATTTTACCCGTCCACGAGGTTTTGTTACTCAAGGTGGGTATAAGCCTGAATGGGCGGGATATCACAAAGTGTCATCGAAGGATAAGATGATTGAGCTTGCTATGGAACTTCTTGAGAGAGCTGTATGCATCTATTAGAAGATCTTAGTTTTGGAAAGTCGAGAGAAGGTATGTGGCCTCTAGGCAATTTGTTGCATCTGTGAATCGTGCGAACTTTCCCGCCGACGACGTGGACTTGAGCACATGCCTTGGTGCACGAAGATGGGATCAGTCACTCAGACAAGAGTGCATTCCTCCCTGCAGAGTGAGCATGATTGAGAGTCGAGATACCATGAGAAATGTCAGATTCTATGATCAGTAGGCTCTGCAGGCCGGGAAATTTGGTAAGATGTAAACATTCAGCATTAAAGAGGTCTTTCAAAGACTTTTGCAACAACGCGTGCTTATCTCAGGCCGTGAATATCGAGTCTAAGACTCATGTTTCTCAATCATGTACCGTCCCCAGTCAATCCTCCAATATAACCTGGCTGGCTGAAATCACTCCAACATTTCGGTCGACGCTAATGGTATCATTTCTACACTCCGTGCTTACCCAGCTCCTTCTTACTTGGTATCATGATGAAATCCAAAATTAATCGCACTTTGAGCCAATAGTACCACTGGCGTCGGCACATACACCGGAGTTCTGAGCCTGGATGCAAGAGTCCTTGAACTCGTTGCCGCCAAATCCAGAGACGTACCGTGTCCGGCCGCCATCCTTAGGAGCAATAGTTGCGCAAACCTGATTACAGCGTCAGAGCCATGCCTTGGAATCAATTTGAGGAGGTTCTGTTAGACTTACGTGCCACAGCATTGTGGTGTTAACGTTTTGCGGGTTGTCATTCTCGAAGATCTTTTGCGACGTCCGGTAAACATCACAAGCCTTTTCCGTGAGACACTTATGAGATACGTCGTTGATAACACAGTAGCATTTGGCGTGTTCGTTTGCAAGCGCACTGGTTTCATCAGTCATGATCTAAATGCTTAAGCCTAGGTTGCGAGCGATGCTGACTTACACTGGAAAGACGAGGAGCGCCAATGAGAGGCAGAAGAATAGAAATTTTGTAAACATGTTGTTGGATGATGTATTCGAGATTGACCACGGGAGAGGAGCGAGGAGAGGAACTGAGGGAGGTGAGAGTTGAGATTGAGACACAGTGACCGGTTGCGGGAATGATGTGAGGTTAACAAGTACTGTAGGGCTGGTCCGAACTGTGGTCTAGACTAAACTTATGTACCTGCATCTGCTATTTGGAGTGGGCGCAGGCGTAATTTAGAAAATGCGGGAGAGTTCAATTGCCATTTGAGTAGCTCGACACCTAGGCCAGAAAAGGATGGTCCCTGACGCGTGGACCAATTCGACTTAATAAACTAAGGAAATGTCAGGATAATGGCAGCAGCTTGGCCATTGCTCTGGGGAGTTCTCCACCACGATAGGGAATGATCCGACCTGAATCATGTTCCTCCCGTGGCATCCGATGATCCCGCCGTTCCATGACGCCGGGCGGCTACTGCACGCCGCCTTATCATACTACCTCAATTAACAATATGCGGGTCATGACGAACGAGACCGCCCCCAGTCGTCGGTATTCTAGTTCGGTTTCTGGAAAAATCTCGTATCGCGGGGTGATGTGACAGCTGAGAGCCGGAGAATGATAAAGATGGGACGGCGTTTGCGCGAGTCAAACTAAGCGGACACTTGCGCAGAAGCTTAGTTGCGGCTCAGACAACGGCCGAGTGTTTGATATAGAAAGGCAAAATAGATTGCTTAGCCACTTAGTACGAGCAGCATTGATCAACACATCACGGGACCTGAGCAAGACCGCTTATCACTTGAACCATATTCCGCAAATAATCTTCGCGGAAACAAGCAGGTTCCCAGATCCATTCCCTGGCGACGCGTGACTAGTTGGTCAACTCCATCAATTGTCACGCGGCGATATTGGATGACACATGTTAACCTTACTCGTATTTTCCCGTGCCTTCCTATCAAGCTTGAAGCAAGTCAACAAAAAAGGGGAAGACGTGGAGTTGATGTCCGTGCATGCGGAGGAAGATAGTCGCGTGACAATGCGGGCAGAACGGAACAGACTTGAGAGTTGATCAAAAGCAGAAAATGGCAGGCAGAAGAGTAAGTTGGCCGAAAGTCGCAGTTGCATCTAGCTGTCGACGAGAGGTTTAGGAAGTCAGAACGAGGCTGGTGATGCAGTAGTTCTGACTTATTGGATACGTAATTGAATGAGAAAGATGTAGCACTGAGACGTCATATCATTAGGAATTTGGGATATTCTGCGAGCATTCATGCACATGGAAAAAATAACTCCGTCACTTCAGCAGCCGTTTTTAAGGCTCTCCAATAAACAGTCCGACGACCTTTCCTCCAGCACAATGGCTCTAGCTGGTTCTCTAATAACTTTCGCACTCCTTAACGTGGGTTCTGGATGTTGTTAGAGAAGCCTCAATCTATGGACAACCCGGACTTCTTACCTGTAGTCTATGCCGAGTTATCTTGGGTACAGGCGTCAAGTCTTTGCGTCGTGAGGTCATGGCCTTCAAAAAGATTTGCTCCCCAGCCCTCCCATCCAGTAACGACCTGATCGTTAGGCAAAGGGTCGCAGCTGTTGGGGTTGATGCCAATGCGGAACTTGAATGGTGCGGAGTTACCGCCAAATGTGACGTTTGTCAACGCTTGGAGGTTGCCCTTTGCGTCCTTGGAGTTTTCGATGGTGCATTTCGTACCGGCAGGGAATGTTCCACTCAAACCGCATCTAACAACTCCTGCAGGTTCGTCCCATTTGAGCCACAGCCAGTTGGTGTCGGCCCAGTTGTCACCCCAGCAGCAACTGTCAGCTGCTGCGATAGCAACATATGCTGAGGTCGCAAAAAGTTGAAGAACAGACGTAGAACGCATGATGGAAAATAGAAGAACTAGTGCCGAAGGAAGTTTTGGAGAGTTTGGTGATAGGTTCGACGACGGAGGATAGTTCCGTCTATGAGTGTTGGGTGCTGTAATACTCTTATCAGACTAACGACGCTTGGACGGGGGAAGAACGTCGGACGAACGGTAGAGGATGTGGGAACGGGAGGCCTGGAAGGCTGATAGCAGGAGATTGACTCAGAGTGTCTCTGGGCAGCAATTAACTAGTAAGCCTCGAAATAAGTTGTCGAGTAATTCGCAGCTTGGACCGGTTCCGAGGAAACACGAGGAACGTTGAGGCGTAAATTCGCGGTGGCAGTTTAACTACTTCAACTCATTTGGCTCCCAATCTACCTGGACACGCCGCGTTATCTTTAATCAAAGAAAGTTGAACGCCGATCTTATGTGTACCTGAATCATGTCAGGATAATACTTGCAAAGCCATCCTTCATCAAACCTTGTTCCTGAAGGCTGGGTCGTGGCTTTAGCGCAGTTTGCGGGGAACCCGAAATCATGCGAGCACGTCCCCAAAGAGGCATCGAGCAACGGCGGCAACTCGCCGAAGTGGGTGAAGGTGCCTTTTATTTACTATGCCCTGGCTTCTTGCTGTTTTCCGAAAGCTAGTGCTCGATACTATTGTCTGTCTTTCTCTTGTTCGTTCGCGTTGCAGCTCGCAACATACAATCATAATGGTTCTCTTGAACCTTGTCACTCTCTTTTCACTCGCCGTGAGCGCGTCTCCGGTTGCATCGATCCCGCGTATAGAGGCTCAAGTGCTTGATGAACGCGCAAATCCCACCGTTGACAGTTGTTCCTTCCATTCCGAAGATGGGTACGATATATAATGTTTCACAAGTTATCTATAGAGATGCCACAATTGCTAATGTCTTTGTCACCAATATAGCATTCAGCCTGGGTGTTGGGAGACTCTGCAGATGAACAACCATCTTAACGTAGGCTCAGATATACAACCGTGTCTGTGTCGTCCATACTGACAATATGACTAGGACTGGTGGTCCAAGAACTCTGCTAGATGCAAGACGGCAGAGAAGGGATTTGCTGAATGTTATCTCGATTCAGCTGTATGTTACACTAGACCACCATGTTCGAGCCCAGTTGCCCCGACTAACACCAGCACAGGGTTACATAACGTGGAGCTGTGACTTCATTGCCCTCAATGGATGCACGCCGCCCCCGAGTGGCCGCAACGCCGATTATGCTTCATACCAGGAGTTCTACGTAGGTTCTACAAGCTTTAAAAACGCTCCAACTTTGCTAATGAAGTTTTGATAGGTCTTCTGGAACATTGATTGTGAGCACTCTCGCTATTGGCGGCCTGTGAATCTTCACTGACATCATCGCGACATTAGCCATCAATCTTTTCTTCACTAATTATCACCAAGCCCTCCTGAACGGCCAAGCTACTGCAATGTAAGTTCGTGTTGGTGATGATATGATGCTGGATTGCTGACCCTTCACCAATAGTGGTGCGGTCGCCGAAATCGTGAAGACTGTTTCGCCACCCAAGACCAAGAACCCCAAAACCCCTCTATTCGGACCTATCTATGCCGTTGCACTTGGTCAATTTGCTGTAAGTATCATAACTCATCATATACGAGAAAGTGATAGTCCTGACAACCAAAAAGGCTCTGGGTCCTTTGCTCGGTAGCTCTCTCGCCGCTAGCATGGTCTTTGCTTCTCTCACCGGTGCCCTCGGTGGTGGAGCTGGTTTGTTCAACATTTTGTTCCCCACCAAGCAGGTCCAGGAGGTCCCCTGGGAAGGTCTCTCAGCTGCTCTTTCAGAGAACGTCAACGAGTACCAGAAGAACGTTGGCGAGGCATTGACCAAGATCCAAACCGACTTCGACACATTCTACTCTCTGGTTTCCAACGGCGGTTTCAGCCAGGTGGGAAAACACATTCTACAGCCAAGATCCACTCAGAGCGCTTAGACTGACCGTTTTGCGACAGAAAATGAACACCAACCTGCCTGAGAACACCGATTTCATGTACCACAACCTTCTGAAGTGGACTTTCAACCAGGCGCTGCAGCAAGCAGACTACTTTGCCGTTAAGAAGTGAGTTCACGATTCTCCTCGGAATAACCCAAATTTGCTAACTAGTCTATAGCCCTGGCGTTGATCCCCGCAAGATTCCTATCGACCCGTACGACTGTACTAACCTGGATACCTACGGTACCTGCGGCCCTATCTGGTACGATGGCAAGGATTCCTATGGCCTTGCGAGAGCAAATGGTACGTTACATTTCCACAGACCGTGGCCGACGCAACTCTTACCCATACTGACATTATCTACAGACATTGGCATGGACCAGATGAAACCAATTCTGGACGTCGCATTCGCCAAGAACTGGACCACGCCGCATGAGCTCTACATCGACTCCCAGCAATGCCAAGGCAAGAATGGCTCCGAATCCTTTGATGTGAAAGATCTGTCACTGAGTTGCGCCGTAAGTGCTCATCTGTTGAATGACCCTTCTCTTGACCTTTTCGCTGACCGTAATATGCAAATAGTCGAACATCCCCGTCTGCGAGTTCAACTTTGACTACAACCCGTATCAGTCGCTCATTGATCGCACCAACCCGCCCGAGTTCAAGAACTGCCCCAATCAGAGAGGCTATGGCACACCCATGTTTCACAGCGATGATGCCGGTGTTCCTCTTTCGTATCTTGGCCCCTTCTTGGTACGTTCTCCTGCAAAATATCATTAACTCAACCCAACTCCTGAGTCATGACACTAACGATCGAGTCAACAGATGTCCGGTGTCATCTATAATGAGAAGAGTGGTTGAGGTAGATTACTTTAGTCAGAATTCCTCGAGACATCATAGATTCCAGGGATTCTCCTCAAGAGTATTAGACGTACGTTGCGAATACTGCAAAATGACTCAAATGCTGGAAACGGCCGAGATAAATTGATATGTTTAATTTTTGAATTGTTCCATCTCGTTTGCAATACTGTGGTATGACTGAGTACAGTTGCGTAGTCTGCAACACACTGGAGTAGGAACCAGAAGTATGCCATAATTAGTCATTCGATCATCGCTTCAGGTGTGTGTGTCAAGATCATTGTTAGTCGCTAGGTGCTACATTTCTGCGATTGCCAATGCAACGGGTGAGAACATATGCTTCACCAAGGGAAGAAGAAATGCCATCCGCTTGAGATTGATCATAGCCAGGTGAAAATTAAGATCATGCAGAGCGCTCTACGCGTTTGAAGGCTTAGTCAAGAAATGATTGTAGCAGCATAGACACCTCAGATTAGACATAAACATAAGTACTACTGAAAGCGGAAGTTCGATAGATGTTGTAGAATAGAGAAAGACAAATGGTGATTCCGCTGCTGGCAATGAGTCAGTAATAGTTGTCTCAGAACTGCAGACTGTTTCTCCGGAAACGTTATCTCTGAGGTGAGAATTACATTTGCATCATGACTTCTATTTGAGGTCAAACTACTTAGTGTATGCTCGGAATCCGTCCTCACCAGTCAGAAG